ATAATAGTGCAGAATATTATTAGTACTTTATAAATTCACATGCGTTTTTTTTAAAAAATCAGAAATAGCGTAAATTACTACTTCTCCGATTAACGGAAATTACTCAAAATTTGAAAGAAGACAGAAAATTATATCTGTTACTTACAGATGAAATTTCATTTATCTATCTGAAATAGTACTCAAGTTATAGGCTTTTGGAAAATTGAAAGTTGAAAAAGTTCCACTTCCGGTTATTGGAAATCACTGAAAAGTTGAAACGGATCTACAAATTTGATATAATACTTATATATGAAACTAGCGTACCCGACCCCCGCGCGTTGCCGCGGCGATAGAAGAAAGTCTGACGAAATATATTAGAAGGATATCACCAATGCATTACCAATCATATGTTCTTAAACGCGTGTCCTTCTTTTCTAAAACTCTGTTATTTAAATGTAAACAATGCTTGCGCTTGGATAATAATTATCGGGACACGGGTTTTCCTACACTACCGCAAGAAAACCTTGAGTGTACATTAATCACTAACCGAAATAATGAGGTAGGACACACTTCGGTGACCACCCATGTGTCAGGGACGTAAAGGGGCGCTCTCAGGAGCCCCCAACCCCCCGATTACACTACCGCATAGGCGCAGCGTACGAGCCCTGGCTCCTTAAAACTAACAGGCGCCATCGTGCTCATAGGATAACCCAGCGTGCCAATAGCATCATGTTAATAATGATGCAGATTTCTTCATTCGCTTAAGTGACATAAATGAACAGAAATTTTTTCTTTAACACGTAAAAAAATTATTTGACGTGTTTTAAACATCAGTGTGACTGATGCAATATGCTAGCGTTACTAATGGTCTATTATTAGATGCTCGATCTCAATTTCTGACTGGATCGTCAAATAATAGATACTTATTGCATCATTCGCAAGGTGACGAAACTCTGCAGTAGGCTCCTCATATTAAAAAAAGTTATTTTTTCATCTTTCGCAAGGTGACGAAACTGTACAGAAGCATTTCCTCGCGTTACAAAGTTATTTTTTAGAAGCGTGTTGTTGTTTTACCGCTGAATATAGTAGTAGTACCCCTTACTCGCTATGCAGGACGCTCGATTAACGGATGCCAAGTGCCAACATAGTCGCTGTAAAACTCTGGGCGCCAAACCGTGTATTGACAAAAATTGTACCCTACATGGCGCCGCCCATAAGAAACTTTAGTTTTCTTTTTCGCAGAAATACTCTCGGGAGTATTCTCATCTACTCCTTAAAGTTTCATGGCACTCCGATGAACCGCATCCGAGTTTTATTTTTTATATACCGTGTATAGAGAAAAAAATCGCTCCCCCCGGGGGGCAACCCCCTTGCAATATTAAAAAATATTTTGTTTGCAGAACCCTACCATTGAGTGATCTAATCATCTCCCCAAAGTTTCATGGTACATGAATGAACGGTGTGAAACCGAAATAGAATTTTATTTTTATAAACCGTATGTAGAGAAAAAAAAATCGCGCCCTGCCGGGGCGCTACCCCTGCGAATTTGAAATTGTTTTTAGCGCAAAAGCCTCCCCAGGAGTATTCTCAACATCATCCCAAAGTTTCATGGCGATCGTGTGAACGATGTCACGTCAATTCACTTTTATTATTTTTATATACGGTATATAGAGAAAAATCGCACCCTCCCGTGGCGCCGCCCTTGTGAAATTAAAAATGATATTTTTTTACAGAACCCTTCCTTAAAGGGTTCTAATTAACCTACCAAAGTTTGAAAGCTATCAGATGAATGGAGTCAAAATAAAAAATCGACTTTTATTTTTATATACCGTATATAGAGAAAAACAGATCGCGGCCTGCCGGGGCCCCACCCCTGCGAATTTGAAATTTTTTTTTCGCAGAAACCTCCCCAGGAATATTCACAACTACTTCCCAAACTTTCACGACGATATGATGAAAGGTGTAGTAATGCATAAGGGACAAACAAACAGACAGAAAAACACACATACATTGCTTTATATATATAGATTTCATCAACCTAGCTGTAACGGTACTTAAGTTATCTTGTTTACAGACACACACACCAGTGGCGGAACTAGAAAAAATGGGCCACCCCGCAAACAAAATTTGTGGGCCCCCCATATATATATATATATATATATATATATATATATATATATATATATATATATATATATATATATATATATAAAACAAGGTTCGCTCTCAATTTTAAAAAAATCCATCTGGTACACGAATAAATCAGAGGTTTTCCAACACACGAGCTGGCCCCTTTCTAAATCTAGTCCAACACACCAAGCTGAGGCTTTCATCAAAACGTTACTAACCGTGTGCCCTGTTTTCCAGAAGTTGAATTAATGTCGGCAGTTCATTTCTTGGATCTTAGGGCGCGGGTTTGTCCACACTACCAACTAGACACGCCAAGGCATGCTGTAAATCTCTCGGCGACGGCCCAGGTGTCAGGGGAGTCATGGGGCTCTTGGAGCTACCGGTTACATTACTGCACGGGTGATGGGTGTGACACATTGTTTCTTCCGGCAGAGCTCCCCCCTCCCCTCCCCCGAAAACAGTCTACCCTGGAAGAAACATTGGTGCAACACCTAATTAGATTTAGTCATCGAGTGTTGTAGCGAGACTTATTCCTAGTGTTGTGGGAACTTTTAAACGACTGTCTGTGGGGGCCAACTTGCTCATATGTGAATCGCTCAGGATGAGCCAGTTGTATTCAAGTAGTAACCTCATCCGCTTATGCAGGATCACGGGGCGCTAAATCACATATTTCCGTTAGGAGTCCCCACTCAAATATGTACAAATGTTAGGCCTATGACAGAAAGTTCCAGAAACCTTTGCGGGGCTGTACTCAACAGCTTCCCAAGTTTTCATGGCGATTGGGTGAATGATGCAGTAATGCATAATAATAATAGAGAGAAAAATGTTTTTCACATGTACAACTGTATGTGGCCAGGTCACGCGTTGGATAACCTTCTGATTTAGGGGAGGGGGGGGTTAACAAAAAGCCAGACCCTCACACACCCCCACCTCAATGACTATTAATAATGTTCAATTAATTCTAAACGTTCTAAATAATTTCTAAATAATTATATAAAAAATAATCTTACCTGCCCTGTTTTGTGAATTAGATGTGCTTAATACTATGAAAGTAAATTAATATGTGTTGACTAGATCTAGTGCTGTCTAGTGTCTGACAAAATGTGCTGAAGTGGTGAATCGTACGGTTAGGAAGTAGTTCATAAACGATACATTTATCTCCTCGATACTTGTGAGGTTGAGAAAGAGGGATGGGATAGGGGTCGGCTCGGGAAAAAACTTGAAAGGGACAACAAAACGCCTTGATCTATGTACGTCAGCATCGCCCATTGTAAAACTTACTCAGGGGAGATAATTTGAAGTATAGGCCTTAAAAGTTTACTATATTTCTTGTAAAATCAAAAACAAGTAAACGTATATAAAACTGAAGTTTATAGTATTATATTATTTTTTAAAAATTATTTGTACGATACAAGATAGTACAGGATACAAATTCAACCACTATCACAAACACATATTAACATTGAAAAATGTACAATGGATTTCGGGTCCCCTACCAATGCCGCAAATAAGAACCGCGCATCATTAAAGTATTGAAAGCCCACTTCATATCAATGTAGCGGCTTTTCGTGCTATGGACTTTGTTGTTTTTTTAAAAGAATTTTGCCGGCGACAGCGTGTGTTTGATTGTAGGGAAATAGAACTCGGCCTTGACGATGGTTAAAAAATACAACTATAAATAACTGTTTTAAATATGTAAAGAATTTGTCGACAATTTTTTAACCCCCTTTTTGGTCCCCATCCCCTGCCCCATCCGCCACAGTATACTTTGGAGGATCGGTTAAACAGTTACGTGTCCTCTATTTAGCTATCAAAGGGAGGGGGGGGGGGGGGCAACGAGTCAAAGAAGTCATTCAAAATTTGAAGAGTTGCATATATTTTACACTGTAGTTTGTGTAATGGATTTTATCTTTTGCGGAAGAGCGTGGTATAGTGACTGTAAAATAAAGATAATCGTACCGCAGCTACAGTGTTTTTCTTTTACAAACCAAATATTAAGGCAAAAATTAAATTCAAAATTTAAAAAAAAAAAAAAAAAATTGGTCAGCCGTGGGCCCCTAAACGGCCTCCCCCCCCCCCCCCCCCCCCGCGCATTGCGGGGTCTGGCGGGACTGTAGTTCCGCCCCTGTTCCTCAGGTAAATGAACAACTACTGACTAGTGTCTTTAACAAAATGTGCAGAAGTGGTCAGTTTACAGTTCATAGACGGTTCGTTAATCTATGCATTACATCTTATTGTAAGAGTAAGGGTGTGGTGAGGGGTAGAAGTGAGGGGTAAGGGGGAGGGGGGGGGAGAGTTGGGAAGGGAAGGGGACAAGAAAGCGCCGATAAACATCTACATCGATAGTGCCGACTTTTTCCGATCGTCTAGAAGACCAGGATAGTCGCCTCGCCGCAACATTTCCCCAGCCCGATTTCAAAGCGTACCGGCACAGTCAAATTTCAGATGATTCGTCTTTGAAGTTGTCTATATGTCTGGCGGTCTCTCGAGCTATAGTCAGTGCATTTTTCTCAAAGACGTTTGCCGACTATCGTGTTTGTTTGTAACTGTACAAGAAAGATAACTCGACCTCCACCGATTTTTTTTTTTACATTTTTTAAAAATAATTTAGCCAGGATTTTTGGGCCCCCAATAGGTTTGGGCCCCCCCCCCCCGCATTGCGGGGTCTGGCGGCACTGTAGTTCCGCCCCTGACACACACACACACACACACACACAAACAGACAATATTGCAAAACTGTGTTTTTCCGAATCAAGGAGGTGTAAAAACGTCGAGATTTGCACGTCTACAATACTTTCTCTATACTCCATGTACGAGAAAGTAAAAATCAATGTACATTTAATTGGTTTAAAAAAAAATATTCGAAAATGACCCCATCATTTTTTCACCAGGTCATCAAGATGCTGGTGTTGGTTGTTGTCATGTTCGGCTTGTGCTGGTTGCCACTGCACACGTTTTTTCTTGTCATTGACTTCAACCCGCATCTGATGAGCAATCAGACAGAGGGGGAGGAGCGGACGTTCACCGTCTTATTCTATACGGCCTTCTGGCTCGCAATGTCCAACTCCTGCGCTAATCCAATCATTTATGGCTTTACCAATGAAAGCTTTCGGGTAAGTTAAAAAAATCTACATTTTTATGAGGTATTACAAATTTCTAAAGTAAATACAGAAATGCATTTAATGAAACTAATAATCTTGCATTTATATTAAAACTTATAGATAATACAATTTCATGTATAAAGTACCATTAAATCTATTTAACGCGCTATTATACAAAAAATTTTCGAGTTGATTTAGTGCGCAATTGATTTTAGTCATATAACTCTACTGTATAAAAAACTTTAAAAATAATGAATAAATAAACCGAGAGTGATCTCCCCTAAACTTTCTCGAATATTTTTATATAACACTACGGGAGATGGCAACTTGGAATATAGACATGATTTTTAATCAGTGGCGGAACTAGAAAAAAAAGGCTCCCCCGCAAAGAAAAAATTAGGGCCCCCTATATATGTACATATATTTACATATATATACATATATATATATATATATATATATATATATATATATATATATATATATATATATATATATATATATATATATATATATATATATATATATATATATATATATATATATATATATATATATATATCCTGACTGAGTAATTTAGTCTACTTCAGGGGTCGGCAACCTGCGGCTCGCGAGCCGCATGCGGCTCTTTTGATATCAAGATGCGGCTCTCCAGCTCCTTGAACAAATACTAATAATCTTAATAAAAAAATAAAATATTTGAAATAAAAAAAAATGTTAGTGGCTCTTTAAAACCAGGGAAATTATAAAAATTGTAACTTTTGGCTCTTCCGCTTCATAAGGTTGCCGACCCCTGGTCTACTTCATTGCAATAAATAACCATTCTGAGCGAACAAACCAGAAAAAATTTAGTTTAAACTCATCTTGTGTTACACAAATATTATGAACAGGCTGGTCAAAAATATATAAATACGTTAGCTTGATTCGTGAATGGTTTCTCGCGTTATGTTTATTTTTTTCATTTTTGGCTTTTATAATATCAATTTTGAAAACATTGATTTTTATATCTATACTATTGTATAGTATGTCTTATTTAAGTAACAATTCAGAGAATAAATTGCTTTTTAATATACATAGTACAAAACTATTTAAATGAGCTTCGTGGGCATCCCTATTTTAAAAAAGGGCAGTAAGTCATGGAAGTAGTGGGAATGTTTACCTACCTTTCAAACTATAGCTCTTGTAGATTTTAAAATATTTTTCTACGCAACAATCTCTGCTACAGTAGACCTGTTGTTGTTTTTTTTTTTTTTTTTTTTTTTTGCAAAACCACTTTCAAGATGCATGAAAAACATAATTTTTTGAAAAAAAAAGTCAATGTTTTTTGGTCGGAACTGGGCCCCTAAACATCCTGGGCCCCCCCGCATTGCGGGGTCTGGCGGTATGGTAGTTCCGCCCCTGTTTTTAATCCATTTTTAATTACTTACACTTTTAAAAATAGAATAGAATCTCTTAGGAACGCCAAAAAGTACGTGTATAATATTGAGGAATATTATTAGTTCTTTATAAATTCACATGCGTTTTTTTGAGAAATCAGAAATAGCGTTAATTACTACTTCTGGTCAACGAAAATCACTCAAAATTTGATAGAATGCAAAGAATTAGATCTTTTACTTACATGTGAAATACGATTTATCTATCTGAAACAATACTCAAGTTATAGGTTTTTCAAAAATTGAATGTACAAAAAGTTCCACTTCCGTTTACCGGAAATCGCTGAAAAGTTGATGAAGAACTACAAATTTAATATAATACTTTTATATAATAACGTTCATCAACCTAGCTGTAACGGTACTCAAGTTATCGTGTTAACAGAAACACATACATACACACATACACACACAGACATACGGACAAGATTGCAAAACAATGTTTTTCCGACTATTGCACGATTACAATACTTCCTATATACTTCATTTATAAAAATATTCTAGGAAGTTTGAAGGAGATCACTCCCGCTTTATTTAAATAGAATAGAATCACGTAAGAAAAAGAATTGAGCCCCAAATGAACATAAACAAATGTGTGAGAGCGGACAGTGAGTGCTTTATAAAGGAAACATTGATTAATTGATTGAAGTTTTAATTAAACATCCAATTCAGCCAAAGCTTTTGTCACTGTGACTTGTCGCCAATTCTTGATCTACGTGAAAGATTTTAAAAATCGGTCCAGTGAGGTAATCGTTTTTTTTTCAGAAATCGGAAATAGCGTAATGTAATTCTTCCTTTCACCGTTTAAAACTCAAAATTGAGATACTTGTGAGAAAGTATGTTAAAAATTTCATCTACCTAACTGAAACGGTACTTAAGATATTGACATTTTAAAAACTAGAAATAGAGCAAAGTCCCACTTCCGATTATCGGAGGTAAAAAAAAAGTTGATTGTAATTAAGGTATACAATCGTATACTTATAAATGAAATGTCATTTACCTAAACGAAAAATCACCCGAATTATAATGTTCACAAGAAAATAGATTAAAGAACCACTTCCGGTTTTCCAAATATTGTCCAAAATTTGATGCAAACAAGCGAATACATTGTAATCTTTGTAAAATTTTGCCCACCTTTCGTAAACGGTAATCAAGTTATTGGCTTTGGAGAAAAATGTTGTCAACATAACTGAAACGGTAGACCTACACAAGTTATCGTGTTTACAGACACACACACATACACACACACACGCACGCACGCACACACGCACATACACACGCACACACGCACACACGCGCGCGCACACACACACACAAACACACAAACACACACACACAAACACACACAAACAATCAGACATTAAGACAACATTGCAAATGTATGTATGACGTCGAGATTAGTTAAAATCTTAATTTTTTTTTTTTTTGCACGACGACAATACTTTCTCTACACTTAGATCTAGTATACGAGAATATAAAAAAAATGCTTAAATCACTTTTTAATAGCAAGCGTTTATCTAATAATGCACTAAAGATGAGACTTACTTTAAATATAAAATAATTAACTACTATTTAAGTAACTAAAAATAAACATGGTCGTCGCTTCTTAAATTCTTTTAAGTTATTTAAATAGTAGCTACTTATTAGATCGACAGACAGACAGACACACAGACACACAGAGACAGACACAGATACACCCACAGACCCACAGACCCACAGACAAACAGACCAACAAACAAATAGACATACAGACATACATACAGACACACACACAAACACACAGAAACACACAGACACATACACAGAAAAACGACAGACAGACAGACAGACGGACGGACGGACAGACGGACAGACAGGACAAAGTTTGAAGACATAGTTCCCATCTTTGAGTCTAAGACTTTTTTTTTCAGGCGGACATGGCATCGTTGTGCTATATTTGGTTTCCATTTTGCGGCTGCCTGAAGAGTGCGGCAAGCCGGCGACTCAGTATTTCCACAAATGAAAGCGTGTACAAGCGCAGCAGCACAATCCGAAAATCTCAGAGCAGTTACAGACAGGCTGTGTACAGAAATGGCAGTAAGGTCTTTATTGAGATCAGAAAAGACAATCTTTACCGTGGCAGGAGCAGCTTGAACGAATTTTATCAAGACTCGTTTGACATGAATAGCAAAGACAGCTCCGGCAAAGACAGCTCCGGCAAAGACAGCTCCGGCAAAGACAACTCTACCAATGACGGATCTGTCTGGTGCTGCTACCAAAACAAGCGACGAGCATCGACACAGCGAGTATCGCGGTGCCGAGATCATCGAGCTCATTTTAGAACCACGTTCAGGGAGTCCCATACGCTGGGCTATAGTGTGAGCCTCGAACAACCCATTAGCCTGACATCAGAGACATCCACTCCTCCAACCAAAGGAGTTCAGCGGTCAATGACCTCTCCATCCACTCCTCCAACCATAGCCAAAGGAGCTCAGCGGTCAATGACCTCTCCATCCACTCTTCCAACCATAGCCAAAGGAGTTCAGCGGTCAATGACCTCTCCATCCACTCCTCCAACCATAGCCAAAGGAGTTCAGCGGTCAATGACCTCTCCATCCACTCCCCTAACCATAACCAAAGAAGTTCAGCGGTCAATGACCTCTCCATCCACTCCTCCAACCATAGCCAAAGGAGATCAGCGGTCAATGACCTCTCCATCCACTCCCCTAACCATAACCAAAGGAGTTCAGCGGTCAATGACCTCTCCATCCACTCCCCCAACCATAACCAAAGAAGTTCAGCGGTCAATGACCTCTCCATCCACTCCCCTAACCATAACCAAAGAAGTTCAGCGGTCAATGACCTCTCCATCCACTCCCCTAACCATAACCAAAGGAGTTCAGCGGTCAATGACCTCTCCATCCACTCCCCTAACCATAACCAAAGAAGTTCAGCGGTCAATGACCTCTCCATCCACTCCCCTAACCATAACCAAAGAAGTTCAGCGGTCAATGACCTCTCCATCCACTCCCCTAACCATAATCAAAGGAGTTCAGCGGTCAATAACCTCTCCATCCACTCCCCCAACCATAACCAAAGAAGTTCAGCGGTCAATGACCTCTCCATCCAATCCTCCAACCATAACCTAAGAAGTTCAGCGGTCAATGAAATCTCACCCCACAATCTAGTTTGACTATCTGGCAAATGTACACTCAAATTTGACTATTTTGGATACGAACATTCTAATTGGACAACAGAAGCATTACCTAGTTCCTTAGATTTAATAACGCAGTGGCTGCCAAGCTTATTTTTACAAAATTTAATTTAAAAAACTTGATTCAATGTTAGCGTTTTTGATTTGGAGAAGGATAAGGATTAGGATCAGGATTAGGATCAGGATTAGGGTTAGGATTAGGCATTAAATCATTAGTTAATAATGTACGGTGAGCTTAATAACTAATTGTGGTTTTACTTTTTTAAGCATTGGTGTTCAGCTAAACTGAAAATCTTGCTGAATTGAACCTACGTGTTAACGAAAATAAATTCAATCTAAATTCTAAACGCAAGAGTTAAACCAGTGTTCTCTGATCAAATGTAGAGGCATTGGAAATGTGGGAAGGGGAATAATGAGTCGAATGCTGGCGTGTGCTATATGGATATCGAGTGAAACCATTTTTCGTATTATGGCCCACCGTTCCGATGGGATTCTATGGCCGGGAGGAGACTGACAATCAACTCGATTTGCTGATAACGTGTACAGCAGCTCATGACGTCTCGCATCTCCTGTCTACTACTCTCCCGGCGGATTCTAAAAGTCACGTGATGTTTCAATTTCTAAGAGTTCCCTCCCCTTTTCGTTTTCTAGCAGATTTCTTTCATACTTTCGTAGATTTACAGTTTCGCAGACATCTGTCAGGACAATGAGAATTTGTGTTATATTTTTTTTTTATTTCTAGTATTTTTTTTGGTAGTCTTTCTTACTCCCCCCCCCCCCCCCCGCCCACTCTCTACGCTGTCAGATAAAATGATCATTGGATGCTTGTTACTATGTAATGTTATTTCATGTTTTTCCAGCAACTCTAGCTCCCCCCCCCCCCCCTATCTATATGAAATTTTTTTTGTAATAACTACTATTTATTTATGCACCACAAAAGAACAAATAAAACCTTCATTTTAAAAAGAAAATGTTTTTGTGGAAATATAAATGTGCACTAAAATGTATATCACTATTTAAAATAAGCCGGGAGTGATCTCCCCTAAACTTTCTCGAATATTCTTATATAACACTACGTGGGATGTCAACTCGGAATATAGACATGATTTTTACTTTCTCGTATATACGTAGTATAGAGAAAGTATTGTAATCGTGCAAAAAAAAATCGAGGTTTTTACAAATCTCGACGTTTTACACCTCACTGATACGGAAAAACATAATTTTGCAATCTTGTCCGTATGTCTGTGTGTGTGTCTGTGTGTGTGTCTGTCCGTGTGTAAACACGATAACTTGAGTACCGTTACAGCTAGGTTGATGAAATTTCATATATAAGTATTTTATCAAAATCGTAGATCCGTATCAACTTTTGAGCGATTTCCGATAACCGGAAGTGGTACTTTTCCTACTTTGAATTTTTCAAAAGCCTATAACTTGAGTACTATTTCAGATAGATAAATGAAATTTCACATGTAAGTAAAAGATCTAATTCTCTACCTTCTGTTAAATTTTGAGTAATTTCCGTTGACTGGAAGTAGTAATTTACGCTACTTCCGATTTCTCAAAAAACTAATGTAAATTTTTAAAGTACTAATAATATTGCGCACTATTATACGCGTTTTTATTCGGCGTTTGCTTGGTGCGCAATGTTTTTTTTATGAGATTCTATTCTATTTTTAAAAGTTTAAGTATTTAAAATGGATTAAAAATCATAACTATATCCCCAGTTACCATCCCCTGTTGTTTTATATAAGAATATTCGAGAAAGTTTAGGGGAGATCACTACCGGTTTATTGTTTACTTAAACTTTTAAAAATAGAATAAAATCTAGTAGAAAAAAAAATTGCGCACCAAGCGAGCACCAAAACCAAATGTGCGCAATAGTGCGCAATATTATTAGTACTCTATAAATTTACATGCGTTTTTTTGAGAAATCGGAAATAGCGTAAATTAGTACTTCCGGTCAACGGAAATGAATCAAAATTTGATAGAAGGTAGAGAATTAGATCTTTTACTTACATGTGAAATTTCATTTATGTTTCTGAATTAGTACTCAAGTTATAGGCTTTTGAAAAATTCAAAGTAGAAAAAGTACCACTTCCGGTTATCGGAAATCGCTCAAACGTTGATACGGATCTACGATTTTGATATAATACTTATATATGAAATTTCATCAACCTAGCTGTAACGGTACTCAAGTAATCGTGTTTACACACAGACACACACACACACACACACACACAGAGACATACGGACAAGATTGCAAAATTATGTTTTTCCGTATCAGTGAGGTGTAAAACGTCGAGATTTGTAAAAATCTCGATTTTTTTTTTTGCACGATTACAAGACTTTCTCTATACTTCGTATAATCGAGAAAGTAAATCTAGGGTCGCTCAGCTATGTATTTAAAGAATTGAAATTGTTGTGCCGTTCTCAAAAAGTGCCAACAAACTATCATATATTATTATTCGCTACTTGCAAAGTAAAATAGTTTACTCGCATCTATCTATTATACTACTAAAACTTAAGTTTGTTTACATGTTGTTTACAAATATTTATTTTATATGTAAAATAGTATGTAGGTAGAGAACAATTTTTGTTTTCAGACAGACTGTTAATCACAAATTTATTTAAAGACGTTAATTAATTTATTGATTTATTCATAGGTAGATTAACCACATTAATTTTAAAGTTTTAGAACAATGGCTTTCTTTGACTGAATAGTGACGTCACAAGTTTTGTTTACTTCTTAGTACAATAACATGGCGGCTTCGATCATAGACTTTGTGGCCCATTCAAAAGTTTAACGCGTTTTAAAGCTAATTTTCTGTCGGCCATAACTTTAACAATACGTCCGTTTGCTGTTTTTATTACGTTCCAACATTTATATAAATTTTCAACTGTCTTTTTCATTTAGTTTTACAATAAATTTCTCTAGCTCTACAATCTGTCCAAGAAAGTTATTTATAGATCTAAAAATATCATGTGGCCAAGCAAGTTATATATACATCTAGATCTAGAATCTAGGTCAAACCAAAGATTAATTAGATACACACCAAAGATTAATTAGATAAAAATACAATCAATTTTATAATCATAATACATTTTTAGTCTTTAAATACTTGATATAAATCTTTGTGATTTATCTATCTAGATCTAGATATATCTAGCTAGAATATGTCTAATGATTAGATCTAAATTCTAGATCTAGCAAGAGTTACGCAAAAACTATAGAGTCCTTTCATATGACGTCACGTCCGTTCGTGATACCTACGCCCGCCGCCACAGTGGTGTACACAAGACGTAAACACAATCAGCTGTTCGCCAGCGCTGGACGTGTTCACCAGCGCTGGACGCGTTCACTGTATGTAAAGAACCGCACCCGCGGAAAAGGAAAAATACGTTAAAAAACTTGAACTCTTATGAATTGAAGATCCTTATATTGACAGTTTCGTATAAATAAATATGTGGACAAAATTTCTAAATAAAAATACTGTTAGTAATACTGTTTGCGTTTAGAGTTAAAGTAGCCGAATCTGATCAAATGCATTTCTCGATACTTTGTTTCATGTAAGGACAGTAAAATAATAAACTTCATTTTAATTATAAAAGATAACTATTAATAAAACAAATATGCTCGACCTTCACAAATACTAATAGTAAAAGACAAAGTCAAAAGTAATAGGCTAATAAGAATAATAAGATCTAATAGTAGGCCTAATACCTGGCTCCGCTGGGTAGACATAGAATCTAGAATCTACTTCTTTACTTAAATTTAATTACTTTAGATCTACATTCGATTCAAAATACACCCATAATAAATCAAAAGTAGTCATAATAGGCCTAATAAAGCATTTAATTGTCTCTAAGATCTAAAATCTCGCTCTATTATCTAATCATTTTTTTAGCAAACGAAATTTTCTGAAATTGAAATAGATTATATGACTAGACTTAGATCTAGAATCTGCTACTTAAATTAAATTGTAAAAACTTTATACAAGCATGTAGTTGATATTATCCTAATTTATAAAAGGCCATGTGCGCTCTTCTCTCTCTCTCTCTCTTTCTCTGTCCGCAAAAAATTTTCGCCGGACATCACGTCAGAATCGGCAGCGATATATCGAGAACTTTTTACGGACTTTTGTTGAAAATAATATGTTAGATGTTTTAAATGTTTAACCACAATTTTACTTAAAGAAGAAAAATAAAAATTAAAGGCGTATTCGAATGTAGAGAAACAGTATTATTTATGCAACCGGAAAAGCATTAATACATGTGAAAAAGAACGCATAAAACTGTGACGTCGCTATTGCTTATACATTAACTAATGACGTCATCTGCTGTGTTTTGAATAAAAAGAAATGAACTATTTCATTCAAATTTGATTTAGATCTACGTACACTATGAAATGTATACAATACAATTTTTCCGGCCTAAACTCATAAAATTTATTTTATGTATTTGGATTCTAGATCTAGACTAGATTCTAAATCTAAATCTAAATCTACGCCTACGCAATAACTAGACTAGATCTAGACGTAGACGCTAAGATCTAGATTTAGACTCTAACTTCTCTAAAATCAATTCCAAAAATAAATTTCTATATTAGGACTAAACTATTTCAAGACTTATTTATTTTATACAAAATCTTTGTTTGGAACTGGCTAATTTGAGATAAAAAAATTAATTTGAAAGAATAGGCATATTCGCGTAAGTTAAGATTTTAAAATACGTGTTTCATTCTCCGAATATTATAAGGTGCCTAAATAGCGGAGATGTTAGTGTACATTAAACCACGCAGGTGGTGCGGGTTCGAGACACACCAAGTCAACTTGGTTAATGTATTTTTTTTAATTATGCTCGGGCTAAACTTAAAAAAAAAATTCTTTTAGGAATCTAGATCTAGATCTAGATTGTCGGGTGTCCGATAGGGCACTTCCCGGCGCCGCAGGCGCTTCAAATTTGGCAGGATCTTGCCTTGGGGCGACAGAACACGGGGGCCGGTTGGCCGAAAAGTCTACGATGAGGGGGTCAAAACTGACCTCGACTGACCGGTACCTTATATGAGCTATAAATTAAAAAAAAAATGTCCACGGAGGAACCTCTTCATAACTCTTGAGGTCGTAGACCGACCCTCGGGCGAATTAATTAAGCATTCAAATTCTCAATGTTTTCGAAAGCCTAAGCGAAGCTGGGCAGCATGCCTAGTTGTAGTAGAAGGCTTTAATAAATTACTAAGGCCTACCTACTTTGTTGTCTTTTTACAGCAATATGTATCTGATACTGGACTGAGTTTCATTAAATTCAAATTCATATCTAGTAATTGGTCTACTAAGTTTTTGTAGCCTTATAGTAGTACAATAATCTAGATCATACCAGCCAACAACAAATAACCACATTATTATTATTTGGTTAATGATTAGGCTAAATTTTTTTTTTAAATCCACTGTTTATAAAAGAAACAAATCAAGCTAGAAACATAATAAGTGAGATGGTTTAGAATAATAGCAATGGACCCAGTCTACAATTGATACAATTGCAGGTCTACATAGGGCCTACAGTCTAGTAGTTTACTGTAGGCACCTAGTGTGTAGCTAGTATACTAGTGTGTAGCTGTCCAGAGTTAAGATTCTTAATGCCTTAATGCTTTCCCCTGATAAGCCGTGTGTGCTATAAATGACATAACATGACACCGAGGTGAGAAGTGTTGAGGGGAGAGCAGTGGGACTTTCCCCTTTGTTCTCCCTGCTGGGCCCTGAGGGTCAAAATTATATAAGAAATACTATCTCTGTGGGGCTGGGTATCACGGAGGTGAGACATTTTCAGGGGAGGGCAGGGCAGACTCCTCTTTGGTTTTATTGTGGGCTAGATACAGGTGGGGGCAGCCATCATGAGGGTTGAACGTCAGTATTAATGTGTCTGATTACTTCCCTGCTGGATTATAAGGGTCTTAAATTGTATAACATGCTACCCAGATTGGTTATTACCCATGGAGTATATTAGCCGTTGTAGTGTGGGTTTTGTAGGAGTTAAGTGGTCTCACGTTTGCTACAGTAGATAACCTCTAATATATTACTGCATTTGATCAGCTTCGTCTACTTAAACTCTAAACGCAAACGGTATTACTAACAGTATTTTTATTTAGAAATTTCGGCCACATATTTATATTATCCACGAAACTGTCAATAACTGTATAAGGATCTTCAATTCCTAAGAGTTCAAGTTTTTTAATATTTTTCCTTTTCCGCGGGCGCGATTCTTTACATACGGTGAACACGTCCAGCGCTGGTGAACACGTCCAGCGCTTGCGAACAGCTGATTGTGTTTACGTCTGATGTACACCACTGTGGCGGCGGGCGTAGGTATCACGTGATTTAGGTCACGTGTTTGCAAGGACTCTATACTTAAGACTTAAGCAAACGAGTCGTAGAATCTAGATCTAGATAATTCTATCTCGATCTAGATAATTTCCGACCTTCATTATTTTATATAAATATTTGTTTGGCTAATTTAAGATAAAATTTAATTTGAGAGTTACTACTACTAGACTTAGATCTAAATCTAGATCTATGCGCGTAAATCAAGTTGCATAAGGAGACTCAAAGTATTAAACGGGCGTCACGAGTTAAATAGCTAAGTTGTTAGTGTAAGCGGCTTGCATTCAGGTGGCACGGGTTCTAGACCAATACGTCAATGAAATTAATTTTTTTTTCAATTTTTTTTTAAAGATGTGAATGATAAAGTTGCCTATCTGAACTTGGCGGGATACAGGGCAGGTGAAGTAGAGTTCATCTGTTTCTTTGTCCTAAGTATATGAAGGGATAGTGTGGTCAGAGGCATGCTCGGCTGGAATCGTTTTTTTAAACGATAATAACATGTCTGAGACTTGGCGGGACACTGGGAAGGTGAAGTAGAGTTGAGTAGGTCACATGTGACGTCAGTATATGAAGGGATAGTCCGAAATCGGTGTTTTTGGTGTTTTTAAAAGATAAAATTAATTTTAAAATCTTGCACGGCGTAGTTACAATTAATAAAGTTATAAAATCCTGCCTGTCTGGTTTTTTTCGGACTTTACTAAAGATTGGATGTATTTGATGTTTTTATGGACCTCTCAAATACCTTTGAGACTTTTCTCGCTGGGGTCCATTGGATGCCTGATTATTTTTTTATGAATGAATTAAAATTTGAACCGAATTAGTAGGCATTTCTATCGAACAAGTCATCACGTTCAATAGCGCGTCATCACGTTTCAATAGGCGCGCAATGGCTTTTAGAACTGTCCGAATTTTCGCTCCGGCGTTTCGATCTAGACAGACAGACAGACTGACGACAGAGGAAGCGAGTTAAATAAAAGCTTGTAAAAATGTGTGACTGCCTGCATTCTCTCTTTATAACAAATAGTAGGTAAAAAGGCCTTTAAAATGGAGAGGCAGTGTACACAGCGTACATGCTCGATCACTCTTTCAAGTGCCCCCCCCCCCCCCCCGGAGAGCAAAGTCTGGAAGAAACACTGCTCCCAATTATTATTAGGCCTAGTAATAGATGTTACCGAAAATATCAAATCCCTATATTACATTATTAGTTAATGTACACGTTGCATGTAAATGAATTAGTAATTTTGCAACATTTATTTAAAGGTCTAATAAATTTTCGTGATCGTCAAACAATTTGGAGGGGGGGGGGGGGAGAGAGAGGGGGGGGGGGGGTACGTCAAAAGTGGACGCGTGTGGACGGGGGGGGAGGGGGTGTCTAAAATTCCAAATTCCCGAATGTTCGTGGACGTCATAAATGGATGACCCCTTGCCCAAAATAAATACACAATAATAATGAAGTCATCGATACTCGATAATAAAGACAATACCGCATTTTAAGTGGTTTGCGTGCATAATTTCTTTCAGGCAGCTCTTCACCGGTAGAACGTCTAAGCTCCCCCCCCCCCCCCCGAACGCAATAGAATTTATTTAGAAAATATATTGGCAAAAGCAGGAAACAGGTCTAGATTATAGAAGTAGGGTCTACCTTTAGTTTGTATGATCTGCAAATACAAACCTGCTTTTCATCCCGGATGTTGTGGGGTCACTTTAAATTTTTTTTCAGGGGACACTGGTAAAAGAATATTTTTTGTTTTTCCGGGGGTGAACGTCAAAGCCCCCCCCCCCCATCCCCCGGACGCAATATAATTTAATTAGAAAATATATACTTTTACCAGTGTCGGCCTCCCCCGCCCTGGATAATTTTATTCGCCCCTGCAAAAATTCAAGTGCCCCACACTCGGAAAAAAGACTGAAAGAAACACTGTCTGCGTGAGTGAGGTTTATCTTCCAAAAGTAGGAAACGGGACTAGATTATAGAAGTAGGTTCTACCTTTAGTATGTATGATCAATAAATATGACCATTGTTTCTTTCAGACTATTTTCTCCCCGAAAGGGGGTACTTGAAATTTTCGGGGGTAGGGGGCGGACACTGGTAAAAGTATATTTTCTATATAAATTTCATTTTTAAAAATCTCGTTCGGGGGGGGAGGGGGGGGGGGGTGAGCAGTTTATCTCCCCCCCCCCCTCCCCCCGAAGAGATACCTGGAAGAAACTCTGCAATACGCTTTAGTACAATTAATTTCTTTTCTTAGTGATAAAGTTTATCAACTCACATATCCAGTAAAAATCCGTCCAAGTTTAGTCGGCGAAAAAGCCACCCCCCCCCCCCTCCGTCTAGAAAAAAACACTAATCACAGTTTCTTTATATAACCAAGGTGGAAAAAAGTTAAATCAGCTCGTAGCCGTTAAATTTCCGAAATTCGACTGTTTATAATTCAAAATAGCAGCTTAAAAAAGTCCGCCCCACTACCCCCCCCCCCCCCCCCCAGCTACAAACAAGTTTGGCCAACATCTAGATTCTAGATCTAGATCTAGAATAGATTCTGTTGAGACCAAGTTAGTTAGGTCGTCTGAGTCTAGATTTAGAATTCTAGATCTAGATCTAGTAGTTAAGGGGAGATAAATGTATAACTCTTCAGAATTTTTTTATACAGATGGTAGGTTCCCTTATTTATTGTTTGCGGGGTAAAAGTAAAATGCTTTATGAGCCTAACGTTTGAGTGTTTTAATTAAATTAGATTTAATTATTGGCTATTTTATAACCAATTAGAGACACAAAACATTATTTCCGATTTTAATTACTAGATCTAGAATCTATCTAAATCTAGACCTATAACTGTTTTACTTTATCAAGGTCAGTGTTAGATCTCTATATTATATCTAGATCTATGTTTCCATTTTTGGCAAGTCAGACAAACTTCCCCATTCAAAATGGCGGAATATGTCGGTCTAGATCTAGGATCTGGACTAGATCTAGAATCTAGATCTAAATCTAGTCTCTGATTGTCGTTGTAAACCCGTGGATATCTAAACCGCTGTCATAGTCTTTGAATTGGAGATCCAAGGTAATATCTAGATCTAGGATTTCTAGGTTTAGTCTTCTTAGTCTAGTGGCTTAGTTTACTAAGTCTACTGGACTCCAGTAGACTGGAGTCTACTCTTATCTCAATTCTAGATCTAGACTAGATCTAGATCTAGTCTAGATCTAGATCTAAATCTAAATCTAGTCTAGATCTGAATGTAGATATTAGATCTAGGATCTAGTCTAGATCTAGAATCTAGTCTAGATCTAGAATCTAGTTTCTAGAGTCTAGATCTTGGCCTAACACAGTAACTAATATATGACGATGACGATAGGCCTAGCCCTAGGCCATTTATATTTATTATTTGTCCTAAGTATTTTAGTACTAGATCTATAATCCAGATCTAGATCTATATCTGGAGTCTAGATTCTAGATAATCCTAATATGTAAAAGCCCATGTGCGCACTTCTCTCTCTCTGTCAGCAAAATATTTTCACCGGATATCACATCAGAATCTTCAGCGATATATGGAGAACTTGATACGGATTTTTGTTGAAAATAATATGGTAGATGTTTTAAATGTATAACCACAATTTTATTTAAAGAAGAAAAATAAAAAATAAAGGCATATTTGAATGTAGAGAACAGTTTTAAGTTTTTATTATGCAACAGGAAAATGTTTATAGTTGTGAAAAAGAACGCATAAAACAATGACGACACTCGCCAAATGTTTACACAAAACTCATGGAGTCATCTTCCGATTTTAGAATATAAAGAAATGAACTATTTCATTCAAATTTGATTTTGATCTACGCACGCTATGAAATATATATTACACAATTTTCTCGGCCTAAGCTTATAAAATTTACGGTATCTATTTGGATTCTAGATCTAGAGATTCTAGATCTAGACTAGATCTACGGAAAAACTAGACGTAGACGCTAAGATCTAGATTTAGACTATAATCTACTCTGGAATCTATTCCCATAATACATTTTTATTTTAAAAGACAAAAACAATATAACTGCCTTTGAACAGCCGGGTTTTTAACGAAATGTTTTAAGTCTCTTAATTTTAAGTCTCTTAATCAGCGAGTGCATTTAATATGGTATGGTTACCGATGAAGAAATGAACTATTTCATTTAAATCTTGGGGTCGGCGTGGTTGAGTCGGTAAAGCTCATGCTTGCTAAACCGAAAAGTCTCGAGTTCGAACCCTCGGGCAGATGAGGCTCGTTAACTGGGGACAGCCACTCTTCTAGGAGAGACAACTCCAAAATTAAAAACTGCTGCCTTGTAGTTTGTTCTTGGTTGGATAAAGGCTATGGAAGCAAATCCAAAAAGAAAAGCAGGCTGAAATCGGAGTCAATGGCCTCAATGGCGCATAACCAGTTGACACGTAACGCTTAATTGTGTTGGAGGCGTGGTCGAGTCGGCAAAAAGTTCATGTTTGATAAATTCGAACAAAGTCTCAAGTTCAAACCCACTGGCAAATAAATCTCGATCCCCTCCAACACTAATAATCAAGAACGAAGAAGAAAAGATTTAAATCTATAGATCTATACATAAAAACCTAATAAAAATAAATCACTTTAAAAAAAAGAAGACTGCAATTGAATAGTCGAGTTTTTAACCGAATCATTTAAGTCACTTAATCAGTGTGTGCCTGTGTTATGTTAAATGTGTCGGATTTTTAGCTAATTAGTTATTTCTTTGCTTTGTCACTAATATCGTTCAGCGTGTAGTAAAGCACATTGCGTTTTGACCAATAACTATTTTATAAATTTTTTTTTCTCAAACAAGTGCAACATTTAAAAATATATAGAGGCCTATAACTATAACTCATGTGAAACGGGTACCGATGGCTAGTATAATATAATAAGATCTTTATTCTAGATCTAGTTGGCCCTAATTATATTAAAATCAACCAATACTGTTACTAGAATCTAATACCTAAGTAGTAAGTACTAGATTCTAAGTACTAAGTACTAACTAAGTATAAGTAGAGCTATCTAGATCTAGAATCTAGATCTAGATCCTAAGTACTGTAGTACTAGATTTTAAATTCTAAATAGTAGGCCCTACTAATCTATTTATTAATTTAGTAGTTGATCTAATAGGCTAAATAAATTAAATAAAATAATAGTTTTTTTTTTATAATTATGCTTTTGCTTTAGGTATGTTAAATCGGCTGAGGCTAGTAATGTGAAAAGAAAGTGCCTCATTAAATTTTAGTAGGCTAATTATTTATTTCACATTTTAAGGAAGATTTATGTTTTGAAAGCTACAAAAGTGTTTCAAAGTTTGATTACCAGATTTAGATCTATAATTTATAATAAATTTTATTAGATGATTATTGATTAGAATCATTAGATCTAGATCTCTAGATTTCTAAATCTAAGATTTTCTAGATCTAGATTCTACCTTTAAAAATAAAAAAAAAACCAATATACTTGAAGTTGAAATCTAGATCCTAGATCTAGGCCTATAAAAAAAAAGGTAATCTATCGTTTTAGGTACGTAAGTGTAAAATCGGCAGAGTCTAGTAATGTGCAAAAAAGTTGCCTCATTATTAGGGCTTTATAGAGGTATATTGTGATATATTTGTGTCAATATTATAGATAACTGAATAATAAACCAAAATCAATGGCTATATATAGATATATCAATATAGTATAGGCTAGAAATTGACTTTAAAAACAGCAGTGTTTGCGAGCAAGATTTGCTATTTAAACAGTGACCATCTGTAAGTTAGAGTGGTTTCCCCTGAATCTCTAACTATAAGATTACAAAATAAACCGGGAGTGATCTCCCCTAAACTTTCTCGAATATTCTTATATAAAACAACAGGGGATGGGAACTCCATTTTAAATACTTAAAGTTTTTAAAATAGAATAAAATCTCGTAGAAAAAAGAATTGCACACCAAGTGAATGCCAAATGAATGTGCATAATAGTGCGCAATATTATTAGTTCTTTATAAATTTACATGCGTTTTTTGAGAAATCGGAAATAGCGTAAATTAGTGCTTCCGGTCAACGGAAATTACTCATAATTTGACAGAAAGTAGAGAATTAGATCTTTTACTTACATGTGAAATTTCATTTATCTATCTTAAATAGTACTCAAGTTATAGGCTTTTGAAAAATTCAAAGTAGAAAAAGTACCACTTCCGGTTATCGGAAATCGCTCAAAAGTTGATCAGGATCTACGATTTTGATAAAATACTTATATATGAAATTTCATCAACCTAGCTGTAATGGTACTCAAGTTATCGTGTTTACACACAAACAGACACACAGACAGACACACAGACATACGGACAAGATTGCAAAATTATGTTTTTCCGTATCAGTGAGGTGTTTTCTTTTGCACGATACAAGACTTTCTCTATACGAGAAAGTGAAAAAAACTTAAACAAGATGGCTTTAAATGAGCTGGGTTGCATCTGCTGATAAAAACATTGCTAGATCTAGTCTTTATTTTTTACTGAAAAGTTTTAATATAATTGTTTAAAAACAGGTACATTAATGGGATGATTTTAGATCCTGATGTCCGATAATCGACTCTTCCATAAAATAGGTGTGTTGTGTTGTTAGTAGTATTGTAATCTTGACTAATTTTATGGTTAGAAATTAGGGTTAGGCGTATGGTAGGGTTAGGGTTAGGGACAGGGTTAACATTGACATGAGCCAGCCATGTGTGTATTTAACTAACTACCAGTAACCTAACACCCCTTTTTTAAAGAAGATTCTATTATCATACACTGGTATAAAAATTTCCCCCGCTAATGAAACTAGGAATTTTGTTGTTTTACCTAAATAGCAATTAAGCAATATTTAGCATGAGTGGAATTTCTTTTTAATTACCTACCCTGGCTTAATTATTAAACATTTTAATTAATTAGTTATATTCACCTTTACTGTTATTAAAATGTATCCATTTTTTTCTAGGAATCTAAGCGAAAACATCATTTGACATTTATCCATTTAATATGTTTTAGCAGTGTGCGTGTATTATTTTCTTTGTGCTCTTTTGTTGGCATATGAAAAAGAGTAAAAACTTTGCCAACTATTAAAAAATCTTACATAAAAGTCATTACATAAATAGACCCTAATGCACGGGTATGTTATTGTTTACTTTTATGTTTCTAGATTCTATAGCGATGATGGAAGGACTGACACACTACCAGATGGCTTATACTTATATTATAGATTATGCAAAAAACAAACATCCAACAAATTTTTAAGTTATTAATTTATTGCCATTGGCCAGAATTTTTATTTCTTTATAGATCTTCTTGAAAACATTGAATCTAGAATATTTACACTGACATTATTATGGTTGTGCAGGGAGTTTTGGGTATTAGGGTGAGTGTTTTGAAGGATTTTGTGGCCTCAGAGGAAATGGATTGGAATTAATAATTATATATTATAGTTAACTTAAGATTATTCTGATAATGTTCTTCTCCAGTGAACAGCATCAAAATTCATCTAGGCCAGCGGAGCTGTAAGATAAAATGTAGGTGCAGTTCATCGACTGATAAAGGAAACACTGAGTAAAATAAGCATGGAGTTCCGAGATTTACTGGAGATCCACCGCACTAGACTCCAAGAAAATGTTGATCCTGACAAACTGTACCAAGCCCTGGAGCAGGATAAAGCAATAAGTGGTGAGGAGATCTTACAACTAGAAACTCTGCCTACTAAGTCTGCTCAGGTGGGCAAACTACTGGATCTATTGCTAACCAAAGACAACTCTGCACTGCAAAGTTTTTACTTGGCACTGCAGAACATGTACCAGCCACTTCTCACAGCTATGTATGAGGAGCCAGTAGGGACACAACAAGGTAATCATCAGGTTTTCTAACAATTTTTTTTTTATCTTTGTCAAATGACCATAGTTTAATCCAGTACTTTATTATCTCCACAGAATCCTTTTCCCCATCTGTAACATCTGACTCAGAAGATGATGTTGGTCGTGGACAGGTTGCTACAAGTAAATAAAATTGTTCATTTAGAAATTGAAAGTAATTTGTGTGTTGGGGAGCTAAAGTACTTGTATATAGTAGAAGTTTTTTTTGTATATTTGGAGTATTTGTGTTGTAGATTTTTGTCTTTGAAGAGTAAGTGTGATGTACAATATATTAAGTGTGATGTTTTTTATATTGGGAGAGAGGATTTTTTATTTCAGTTGTCAACTATCATGATTGAACACTGCATTTACACTTGGGCCATGTATACTAAACATGTTGATAAAAATAACCATGGCAATAAGTGATGTAAGGATGTTTTGTCTAGGTTTGTCTTTGTTTGCTTATAAAAGATGTGTGAACAGTGAACTAGTTGGAACTGTTTATGTTAATAAGTGAACCATACTCAGTAGCTAATGTTTATATGTTCACAGCTTAATACTAAATTAAATTCTAGATCATCTTGATTTTGTTTTCCTTGTCCTTTGTGACCTGTAGTATTGCTAAGCATAACTAGTGTTCAGATCTAGTTTAATACTGGTAGAAAATATAAGTCTATCAAGCCAATGGTCAGTGCTTCCCATTTTTTTCACTTGGGTAATCACCTAGGCTGTAACAATATACTCAGTTTATTCTGAGTATCCAGAAAGTTTTTTTTTTAATTTAAAAGACTTTGCGGTACACTTCAGATATTTGTATGTTTTTTTTTTAAAATTTAAATGACTTTGCGGTACACTTGAGATATTTGTATTCATCCAGATAGCAGGGACAGAAATATGATTATAACTTAAATCCAATATGTTGATTTTTTTCAGTTGCTATTTCAGGTCTTATTTTTTTTCAAGCCCAGACTATTCAAGGAAGTTCCAGATTTCATTCAATTAAATGGTATTTGCAATATATTTTTAGGTGCTCGACTTCAAGAATTTTCAAACAGATCCAAAATGACGAAGATAATTCCATCGCACCAGTATGACCCTAACAGTACTGTGAGCAGTAGCTACCCTACGTTTAGGTAGGTCATAACAGATAATTTTATAGCACCATCTAAAAAGATGGTAAGTCAGTAGAATGTCTTTGAATCCACCCAGCTCTGATGGGTACCTAACACATGTTAGGGAAAGTAAAGTTAGCACTAAGCCCCGCCCCTTTTACTTTCTCTAATATGAGTCAGATACCTAGCCTGTATTTCTCACCTTATGTTCTGATTGATATTTTCAGCTACTAAACCAAAGTACAATAGTTAAGTTTAAATCAAACCTTAATGTTCCATTGTTAAAACGAGGTCGGTCTTCTTGATTAATACGTAAAAGTAATGCTTACAAGTCTGACAATGTTCAAATGACCATGAAACATTGTTACAAATGGAAACCAGGTATTTTCATTTAAGGCAGCCATCATTACCAAGTCAAAGGTAAAAACGGGTCAAGCTACAGCATAATTTAACTATGCCAATTTAGATGTTGAGTGTACACAATAAAGGTCCAATGAAGATGGATGTACACAAGATAAGGTCCAATTAGGATGTTGGGTGTACACAAGATAAGGTCCAATTAGGATGTTGGGTGTACACAAGATAAGGTCCAATTAGGATGTTGGGTGTACACAAGATAAGGTCCAATTAGGATGTTGGGTGTACACAAGATAAGGTCCAATTAGGATGTTGGGTGTACACAAGATAAGGTCCAATTAGGATGTTGGGTGTACACAAGATAAGGTCCAATTAGGATGTTGGGTGTACACAAGATAAGGTCCAATTAGGATGTTGGGTGTACACAAGATAAGGTCCAATTAGGATGTTGGGTGTACACAAGATAAGGTCCAATTAGGATGTTGGGTGTACACAAGATAAGGTCCAATGAAGATGTATTGTGTACACAAGATAACGTCCAATTAGGATGTTGGGTGTACACAAGATAAGGTCCAATTAGGATGTTGGGTGTACACAAGATAAGGTCCAATGTAGATTTATGGTGGGAGCATAACATAAGGTTTAATAAAGATGTTGCATTTGATAAGTATATTCCTTAAGTGTAGACTTTGGGCAGTGTTTTTTGTCCACCAAATTTTGCAGAGATCACTCAAGTCCTTTATCTACAAGTATGGATCATAATTCAGCAAGTCTAGCTTCACTCTATGACACTTATGGTGTACCAAGACATGGCTACCAAGATCGTTATTATGACTGGTTTTTTAAGCAGTTTGAGTGTGCCTTTAAGGAACTGCAAGTCCTAAAGCAACAGAATGCTGAAATGATGGGCATGAGAGAGCGCTATGATCAGGTACACCATATTTTTCATCATCAGATTTTTTTTTCTGGCATGTAGAGTAACAGGTTGTCTCAACATTTTATCATGAGTTCTCTCAGGTGTCTTACATAGGCTCATCTGATAACTGATCCAAATATTTACTCACTTTCTTAGTTTTCAAACAAGCGTGCCGCTTTTCAGGGATAACTTGAACTTCCCGATTTGAGAATAATATTTTCCGCACCATATTACAATTTAAAAAATAATCGAGAATGTTTAAACGTGAAATTTTTTACTGCTTATTGTCTCAGATCATTTGCCTGGTTTTGGTCCCAGATCATTTTGCTGCTTATTCTTAATCCTTGATACTCCCTGTGGAGTATAGGGCAGCAACAAATCTTCACCATTCCAGTCTTTCTAGGGCGAGCCACTTCAATTCATGCCAGGTCTTACCAGTTGCCTGCACTTCTTCTTCCATCTCTCTCCTCCATGTTCCCAGGTGTGGTTCTCTGCTGGAGTGAGCATGATTTCCAGATCTTAGCAAGTCTGTTGAAAGCCTGTGCTGCCATTGCTATTCTGATTTTACTGCTTATGGTCCTAGATCAATTAGTTTACTGCATATGGTCCTAGATCATTTTTTTTACTTCTTATGGTCCTAGATCATTTTTTTTTACTTCTTATGGTCCTAGATCATTTTTTTTTACTTCTTATGGTCCTAGATCATTTTTTTTTACTTCTTATGGTCCTAGATCATTTTTTTTTACTTCTTATGGTCCTAGATCATTTTTTTTTACTTCTTATGGTCCTAGATCATTTTTTTTTTCTGTTTATGGTCCTAGATCATTTTTTTTTTCTGTTTATGGTCCTAGATCATTTTTTTTTACTTCTTATGGTCCTAGATCATTTTTTTTTACTGCATATGGTCCTAGATCATTTTTTTTTTCTGTTTATGGTCCTAGATCATTTTTTTTTACTTCTTATGGTCTTAGATCATTTTTTTACTTCTTATGGTCCTAGATCATTTTTTTTTACTTCTTATGGTCCTAGATCATTTTTTTTACTGCTTTTGGTCCTAGATCATTTTTTTTACTGCTTTTGGTCCTAGATCATTTTTTTTACTGCTTTTGGTCCTAGATCATTTTTTTTACTGTTTATGGTCCTAGATCATTTTTTTTACTGCTTTTGGTCCTAGATCATTTTTTTTTACTTCTTATGGTCCTAGATCATTTTTTTTACTTATGGTCCTAGATCATTTTTTTTACTTCTTATGGTCCTAGATCATTTTTTTTACTTCTTATGGTCCTAGATCATTTTTTTTACTTCTTATGGTCCTAGATCATTTTTTTTTACTTCTTATGGTCCTAGATCATTTTTTTTTACTGCTTATGGTCCTAGACCTTTTTTTTATACTGTTTATGGTCCTAGATCATTTTTTTTACTGCTTATGGTCCTAGACCTTTTTTTTATACTGTTTATGGTCCTAGATCATTTTTTTTACTGCTTATGGTCCTAGACCTTTTTTTTATACTGTTTATGGTCCTAGATCATTTTTTTTTACTTCTTATGGTCCTAGACCTTTTTTTTATACTGTTTATGGTCCTAGATCATTTTTTTTTTACTTCTTATGGTCCTAGATAATTTTGTTTTTACTTCTTATGGTCCTAGATCATTTTTTTTTTACTTCTTATGGTCCTAGATAATTTTGTTTTTACTTCTTATGGTCCTAGATCATTTTTTTTTACTTCTTATGGTCCTAGATCATTTTTTTTACTTCTTATGGTCCTAGATCATTTTTTTTTACTTCTTATGGTCCTAGATCATTTTTTTTTTACTTCTTATGGTCCTAGATAATTTTGTTTTTACTTCTTATGGTCCTAGATCATTTTTTTTTTACTTCTTATGGTCCTAGATCATTTTGCTACTGATAGTCTGCAGGTTAGTACAGGCATATAACAAGATGCAAAAGGCTTAAGGAAATTAATTCCTTGTACATTTTTACTTTCATTTTTTAACATATAGGCAAATAAGCCATCCAAAATTTTGTATTAGAAATGAAGCAGTTATCACACTTTCTCAACTGCTTATGCAAACAGATTTGACTCTACTGTGTGTTTCATTATTGGTTGCTATAGTAGCTAGTGTCAAGTTAAGGAAAAAATCAATACTCTTTTCCCATGAGCTGTTTTGTGTGGAGTCATCATTATTTTTAGATCTCACTCTTCTAGTCTTCCTACTCAACTTCTTATTTGTTTGTAGTGGATTATTTCTTACTTGTTTGTAGTGGATTATTTCTTACTTGTTTGTAGTGGATTATTTATTATTTGTTTGTAGTGGATTATTTCTTACTTGTTTGTAGTGGATTATTTCTTACTTGTTTGTAGTTGATTATTTCTTACTTGTTTGTAGTGGATTATTTCTTACTTGTTTGTAGTGGATTATTTCTTACTTGTTTGTAGTGGATTATTTCTTACTTGTTTGTAGTGGATTATTTCTTACTTGTTTGTAGTGGATTATTTCTTACTTGTTTGTAGTTGATTATTCCTTACTTGTTTGTATTTGTAGTGCATTATTTCTTATTTGTTTGTAGTGGATACTTCTTATTTGTTGGTAGTGGCATGATTCTTATTTTGATTTGATTTTTTTTCCTTTGTTTTTTGTGGGTGAATAACTGAATTTTTCTGATCACAAAGCTGCTGCTCAGCAAATTTTACTTTATTTCAAACAAATGACTAAAAAGTGGGGAAAAAAAATAAAAACCTTTTAAAACAATCTTTTAAATACACTGATAATAAGAAAAACAACCCACATTTCTTGAATAAAAGCTTTTGTCACTAAAATATGTAAGAGATCTCATGAACAACCAAAGATTTTTTTTAGCCTGGGTGCTACAGTACCTACATTTTTTTGTTATTAGTCAAGCAAATACACATATGCTCAATAAGATTTCTAAAAAAAATGGTTTAAAAAAGAATTTTTTTTTGTTGTCATTGTTACGTCCACCATATTTCATATTGTTTTTTTGCGTATCATATTCAAACTACTATGGTAAAATCTTTCAAAAGTATGTATCATTTGAACGCTCAAAATTAGATGGCAAATTTTCATAGATCAACAAAAATTTCCATGTGGTTGTACTCAAAAGACATGAAAAAAGCTTTCTGGCAATATAGAAGAACATGAGGTGTCTATTTATAGTTTTGTATTTGTTTTATAGCTGCAAATATTCACAATATTTAGTCAAAGTATACCCATACATGCATCACACAAAAATTATTTTTAAATATAAATAATTTCCCAATAATAAAAAATACATTTTTGAGTTTAAAAATGGACATACTTTTAAAATTAGGTCAAACCTCAATATCAACGTCGGTCACCCAAATACTCAAAATTAGGTCCTGTATGCAGCCTTAAAGAAAGCAAATTAGTTTTATTTTTTTATTTTCAGTGCATTTAAAAGCTTTTTATTACAATGGTTTTTATGTTTTTTTTCTTTAATCCATCTTTACACTTAAAACAAGAAAAAAAATGTCAGCTTATAAAACATTTGACTGGACTGTCAAGTGCTCTCAGACATGTCCTCATAGAATTCATCTCCTTTATTTATCAGGTAACAAAAGAAGTGAAACACCTGCGAGGTATGTATCAAAGTGAATCCCAGTGTCTGCAGAGAGCTACAGCTGAAATTGACTCATTGAAGGCTCAACAGGGGGAACTTGTGTCTGAGAAAAAGCATCTATTGGATGAAGTGGCAGAGCTACAGAAGCTCAGGGCTGAGGACAAGCAGGAGCTCTCACAGTTACGGCACCAGCAGAAAAAGGTAGGCTTTGGTGGTTAGCTCAGGGATGTGACTTTTCCGAATTTTAGCGGAAATCAAATTTTTCCGTTTTAGTTACGATTTTCCTCCGCTGATTTAATTTTCGCCGAATTTTTCCGCCGACTTTCAATTTTCGCCGAATTTTTACAAAGTTTTAAAAATTAGGAAAAAAAAACGGAAATGTCTTCTACGGAAAGGGCCGACATGCTCATTCCACTTATTCGTATTTAAATCGACAACTACTGTACTTAGGTCAAACGGACACGCGAATATGCGCATTTCTTTTCGATTGGTCGATTGCGCTAGGTCTGGCGGTGCTAGATCAAGATTAAATGTAGATTAAGATTCGGAATTTCGGCGGACTTAAGAATTTTTCAAAGCACAATTTTTTAGTCCAAATTTTCCGCTGATATTTTGAGTTAACTTTTTATAAAAAAAACACGGGAATAGGTAATCTAAAATAATAGTTATTCAACTGAAACTTAAATCTCTTAAGCCTGGTAATCTAGCTATTTGATATACCCTAATTTAGGGCCTATCTATCGGTATTTTAACCCGCCTAAATCTACAGTTTCTCTCTGATTCTATTTTATTTCGCAATCTCAAATTAATATTGCAGGGATGTGACTTTTCCGAATTTTAGCGGAAATCCGATTTTTCCTTTTCAGTTGCGTTTTTCCTCCGCTGATTTTATTTTCGCCGAATTTTTCCGTTGACTTTCAATTTTTGTTGATTTTTTACGAAGTTTTAAAAATTAGGAAAAAAAAACCGGAAATGTCTTCTACGGAAAGGGCCGACATGCTCATTCCACTTATTCGTATTTAAATTTAAATCGACAACTACTGTACTTAGGTCAAACGAACACTCGAATATGCGCATTTCTTTTCGATTGGTCGATTGCGCTAGGTCTGACGGTGCTTGATCAAGATTAAATGTAGATTAAGATTCGGAATTTCGGCAGAATTACGAAGTTTTCAAAGCACAATTTTTTAGTCCAAATTTTCCGCTGATATTTTTAGTTAACTATTTATCAAAAACACGGGAAAAGGTAATCTAAAATAATGCAGTTATTCAATTAAAACTTACATCTCTTAAGCCTGGTTATCTAGCTATCGATATAGCCTAATTTACCTATCGGTATTTTAACCCGCCTAAATCTAGAGTTACTCTCTGATTCTATTTTATTTCGCAATCTCAATTTAATATGGAAATCCTTGCTAAAATTGACTATGAGGACTAGACTAACCCTCCCCACCTCGTACTAACGGTGGTTCTTGTGACCTCACCTTGACCCCAAGTACGTGTTCGGTACTGCTTGTGGGGGGAAAAAATGACGTCACAGTCAATTTCAAATAGCTGTTCCTGCAATACGTATGCTTCGTAGGCCTACAGATTTAAAAAAAAATACTAAACTCAACGTGACTACGATCGTGTCTCGTTTGTGGAAGAAAAAATACGTTCAGAGGTCTTCCATAAATAACGTCACACTCGTAAGATAGTGTAACGTCATATTTTTGCATTAAAAAAAAAGTAATGTTAGAAAGAAATGCATTTTAGCCGCTATTACGAGTTTTAGAAAACTGTTGTAAAACATAGAAATTGAATAAGATACCTTATGTTGGTCGACCTCAGTCAATATTTTAGAAAAAAATCGATGTTTTAAAAAAAATTCAAATTCAATTCGAGGGGGGGGGGGGGTCTGGATTTTGTAGGACAGAGGGGAGGTAAATATCGTCAAAAAAACGTGGATGACCCCTAACAATTTACAGCTATTCTAAAAAAACATAAATATCGATGTGGCTTGGCTATCAAAATGATTTACTTTTGTTCACACGTCAGACCCTTTCTAATTTTAGCTAACCTGGTCCAGTCATTTTTTCATCACATGAACCTAAAACTTTCAAATTGTAACTAATCTTAATCTAGGCTCTTTACAGTTAAAGACAAATATTTTTACCAATCCAATCTTTAAAAGAATATAGGGTATTAGGCCCCCTATTTAAAATTGAAAACAGGAGTACATCTAGAATCTACACCAGATTAGTAGGCCTACAGTTTAAATTAAATGGTAAAATAAAACATAATAGCTACTTTTGTTACATTGTAATTTTTAAAAAAGTTGTTTATTAGGTAAACATTAAATTGCAATTAGACAAGACTTTCAATGTTATTTTAGAGTAACATTAACTTCTTGTATTTAGAATATTAACTTCATAAAACAATTTATTAGTACAGTAACAGTATGAAGCTGCTTAACCGCGATAAAAAGTAGATAAAGCATATTGAGTTATTATCCGAAAAAAATTTCCTAATTTTTTTTCCTGGTCTGGTCACATCCCTGATATTGAAATCCTTGCAAAAGGTGACTATGAGGACTAGACTAACCCGCCCCACCTCGTAGTAATGGTGGCTCTTGTGACCTCACCTTGACCCTAAGTACGTTTTTGGTACTGGTTGTAGAAAAAAATGACGTCACAGTCAATTTCAAATAGCTGTTCCTGCAATACGTAATCTTCGTAGGTCTACATATTAAAAAAAAATATACTAAACTCAACGTGACTACGACCATGTCTTGTTTGAGGAAGAAAAAATACGTACAGACTGTTTTTAAATTTTTAATAAGGGGTCTTCCATAAATAACGTCACACTCGTAAGATAGTGTAACGTCATATTTTTGTATTTTAAAAAAGTAATGTTTGAAACAACTGCATTTTAGCCGCTATTACGCATTTTGAAAAACTGTTGTAAAACATTGTAATAGAGATTGAATAAAAAAACCTATGTTGGTCGACCTCAGTCAATATTTTAGAAAAAAAATCGATGTTTAAATAAAAAAAATTAGCTGTTAGCTAGATCTTAGGATACAGTTTGATATATGCTCTGTTAGCTAGATCTTAGGATACAGTTTGCTATATGCTCTGTTAGCTAGATCTTAGGATACAGTTTGATATATGCTCTGTTAGCTAGATCTTAGGATACAGTTTGCTATATGCTCTGTTAGCTAGATCTTAGGATAAGGTTTGATATATGCTCTGTTAGCTAGATCTTAGGATAAGGTTTGATATATGCTCTGTTAGCTAGATCTTAGGATAAGGTTTGATATATGCTCTGTTAGCTAGATCTTAGGATACAGTTTGATATATGCTCTGTTAGCTAGATCTTAGGATACAGTTTGATATATGCTCTGTTAGCTAGATCTTAGGATAAGGTTAGATATATGCTCTGTTAGCTAGATCTTAGGATAAGGTTTGATATATGCTCTGTTAGCTAGATCTTAGGATAATGTTTGATATATGCTCTGTTAGCTAGATCTTAGGATACAGTTTGCTATATGCTCTGTTAGCTAGATCTTAGGATAAGGTTTGATATATGCTCTGTTAGCTAGATCTTAGGATACAGTTTGCTATATGCTCTGTTAGCTAGATCTTAGGATACAGTTTGCTATATGCTCTGTTAGCTAGATCTTAGGATAAGGTTTGATATATGCTCTGTTAGCTAGATCTTAGGATACAGTTTGATATATGCTCTGTTAGCTAGATCTTAGGATAAGGTTTGATATATGCTCTGTTAGCTAGATCTTAGGATACAGTTTGCTATATGCTCTGTTAGCTAGATCTTAGGATAAGGTTTGATATATGCTCTGTTAGCTAGATCTTAGGATAAGGTTTGATATATGCTCTGTTAGCTAGATCTTAGGATAAGGTTTGATATATGCTCTGTTAGCATATCTTAGGATACAGTTTGATATATGCTCTGTTAGCTAGATCTTAGGATAAGGTTTGATATATGCTCTGTTAGCTAGATCTTAGGATAAGGTTTGATATATGCTCTGTTAGCTAGATCTTAGGATAAGGTTTGATATATGCTCTGTTAGCATATCTTAGGATACAGTTTGATATATGCTCTGTTAGCTAGATCTTAGGATAAGGTTTGATATATGCTCTATTAGCTAGATCTTAGGATAAGGTTTGATATATGCTCTGTTAGCTAGATCTTAGGATAAGGTTTGATATATGCTCTGTTAGCATATCTTAGGATACAGTTTGATATATGCTCTGTTAGCTAGATCTTAGGATAAGGTTTGATATATGCTCTGTTAGCTAGATCTTAGGATAAGGTTTGATATATGCTCTGTTAGCATATCTTAGGATACAGTTTGATATATGCTCTGTTAGCTAGATCTTAGGATAAGGTTTGATATATGCTCTGTTAGCTAGATCTTAGGATAAGGTTTGATATATGCTCTGTTAGCATATCTTAGGATACAGTTTGATATATGCTCTGTTAGCTAGATCTTAGGATAAGGTTTGATATATGCTCTGTTAGCTAGATCTTAGGATAAGGTTTGATATATGCTCTGTTAGCATATCTTAGGATACAGTTTGATATATGCTCTGTTAGCTAGATCTTAGGATAAGGTTTGATATATGCTCTGTTAGCTAGATCTTAGGATAAGGTTTGATATATGCTCTGTTAGCATATCTTAGGATACAGTTTGATATATGCTCTGTTAGCTAGATCTTAGGATAAGGTTTGATATATGCTCTGTTAGCTAGATCTTAGGATAAGGTTTGATATATGCTCTGTTAGCTAGATCTTAGGATACAGTTTGATATATGCTCTGTTAGCTAGATCTTAGGATAAGGTTTGATATATGCTCTGTTAGCTAGATCTTAGGATACAGTTTGATATATGCTCTGTTAGCTAGATCTTAGGATAAGGTTTGATATATGCTCTGTTAGCTAGATCTTAGGATAAGGTTTGATATATGCTCTGTTAGCTAGATCTTAGGATAAGGTTTGCTATATGCTCTGTTAGCATATCTTAGGATACAGTTTGATATATGCTCTGTTAGCTAGATCTTAGGATAAGGTTTGATATATGCTCTGTTAGCTAGATCTTAGGATACAGTTTGATATATGCTCTGTTAGCTAGATCTTAGGATAAGGTTTGATATATGCTCTGTTAGCTAGATCTTAGGATACAGTTTGCTATATGCTCTGTTAGCTAGATCTTAGGATAAGGTTTGATATATGCTCTGTTAGCTAGATCTTAGGATAAGGTTTGATATATGCTCTGTTAGCTAGATCTTAGGATAAGGTTTGATATATGCTCTGTTAGCATATCTTAGGATACAGTTTGATATATGCTCTGTTAGCTAGATCTTAGGATAAGGTTTGATATATGCTCTGTTAGCTAGATCTTAGGATAAGGTTTGATATATGCTCTGTTAGCTAGATCTTAGGATAAGGTTTGATATATGCTCTGTTAGCATATCTTAGGATACAGTTTGATATATGCTCTGTTAGCTAGATCTTAGGATAAGGTTTGATATATGCTCTATTAGCTAGATCTTAGGATAAGGTTTGATATATGCTCTGTTAGCTAGATCTTAGGATAAGGTTTGATATATGCTCTGTTAGCATATCTTAGGATACAGTTTGATATATGCTCTGTTAGCTAGATCTTAGGATAAGGTTTGATATATGCTCTGTTAGCTAGATCTTAGGATAAGGTTTGATATATGCTCTGTTAGCATATCTTAGGATACAGTTTGATATATGCTCTGTTAGCTAGATCTTAGGATAAGGTTTGATATATGCTCTGTTAGCTAGATCTTAGGATAAGGTTTGATATATGCTCTGTTAGCATATCTTAGGATACAGTTTGATATATGCTCTGTTAGCTAGATCTTAGGATAAGGTTTGATATATGCTCTGTTAGCTAGATCTTAGGATAAGGTTTGATATATGCTCTGTTAGCATATCTTAGGATACAGTTTGATATATGCTCTGTTAGCTAGATCTTAGGATAAGGTTTGATATATGCTCTGTTAGCTAGATCTTAGGATAAGGTTTGATATATGCTCTGTTAGCATATCTTAGGATACAGTTTGATATATGCTCTGTTAGCTAGATCTTAGGATAAGGTTTGATATATGCTCTGTTAGCTAGATCTTAGGATAAGGTTTGATATATGCTCTGTTAGCTAGATCTTAGGATACAGTTTGATATATGCTCTGTTAGCTAGATCTTAGGATAAGGTTTGATATATGCTCTGTTAGCTAGATCTTAGGATACAGTTTGATATATGCTCTGTTAGCTAGATCTTAGGATAAGGTTTGATATATGCTCTGTTAGCTAGATCTTAGGATAAGGTTTGATATATGCTCTGTTAGCTAGATCTTAGGATAAGGTTTGCTATATGCTCTGTTAGCATATCTTAGGATACAGTTTGATATATGCTCTGTTAGCTAGATCTTAGGATACAGTTTGATATATGCTCTGTTAGCTAGATCTTAGGATAAGGTTTGATATATGCTCTGTTAGCTAGATCTTAGGATACAGTTTGATATATGCTCTGTTAGCTAGATCTTAGGATACAGTTTGCTATATGCTCTGTTAGCTAGATCTTAGGATAAGGTTTGATATATGCTCTGTTAGCTAGATCTTAGGATAAGGTTTGATATATGCTCTGTTAGCTAGATCTTAGGATACAGTTTGCTATATGCTCTGTTAGCTAGATCTTAGGATACAGTTTGCTATATGCTCTGTTAGCTAGATCTTAGGATACAGTTTGATATATGCTCTGTTAGCTAGATCTTAGGATAAGGTTTGATATATGCTCTGTTAGCTAGATCTTAGGATAAGGTTTGATATATGCTCTGTTAGCTAGATCTTAGGATAAGGTTTGATATATGCTCTGTTAGCTAGATCTTAGGATAAGGTTTGATATATGCTCTGTTAGCATATCTTAGGATACAGTTTGATATATGCTCTGTTAGCTAGATCTTAGGATAAGGTTTGATATATGCTCTGTTAGCTAGATCTTAGGATACAGTTTGCTATATGCTCTGTTAGCTAGATCTTAGGATACAGTTTGCTATATGCTCTGTTAGCTAGATCTTAGGATACAGTTTGATATATGCTCTGTTAGCTAGATCTTAGGATAAGGTTTGATATATGCTCTGTTAGCTAGATCTTAGGATAAGGTTTGATATATGCTCTGTTAGCTAGATCTTAGGATACAGTTTGCTATATGCTCTGTTAGCTAGATCTTAGGATACAGTTTGATATATGCTCTGTTAGCTAGATCTTAGGATAAGGTTTGATATATGCTCTGTTAGCTAGATCTTAGGATAAGGTTTGATATATGCTCTGTTAGCTAGATCTTAGGATACAGTTTGCTATATGCTCTGTTAGCTAGATCTTAGGATACAGTTTGATATATGCTCTGTTAGCTAGATCTAAGGATAAGGTTTGATATATGCTCTGTTAGCTAGATCTTAGGATAAGGTTTGATATATGCTCTGTTAGCTAGATCTTAGGATACAGTTTGATATATGCTCTGTTAGCTAGATCTTAGGATACAGTTTGATATATGCTCTGTTAGCTAGATCTTAGGATAAGGTTTGATATATGCTCTGTTAGCTAGATCTTAGGATACAGTTTGCTATATGCTCTGTTAGCTAGATCTTAGGATACAGTTTGATATATGCTCTGTTAGCTAGATCTAAGGATAAGGTTTGATATATGCTCTGTTAGCTAGATCTTAGGATAAGGTTTGATATATGCTCTGTTAGCTAGATCTTAGGATACAGTTTGCTATATGCTCTGTTAGCTAGATCTTAGGATAAGGTTTGATATATGCTCTGTTAGCTAGATCTTAGGATACAGTTTGATATATGCTCTGTTAGCTAGATCTTAGGATAAGGTTTGATATATGCTCTGTTAGCTAGATCTTAGGATACAGTTTGATATATGCTCTGTTAGCTAGATCTTAGGATAAGGTTTGATATATGCTCTGTTAGCTAGATCTTAGGATAAGGTTTGATATATGCTCTGTTAGCTAGATCTTAGGATAAGGTTTGATATATGCTCTGTTAGCTAGATCTTAGGATAAGGTTTGATATATGCTCTGTTAGCATATCTTAGGATACAGTTTGATATATGCTCTGTTAGCTAGATCTTAGGATAAGGTTTGATATATGCTCTGTTAGCTAGATCTTAGGATACAGTTTGATATATGCTCTGTTAGCTAGATCTTAGGATACAGTTTGCTATATGCTCTGTTAGCTAGATCTTAGGATACAGTTTGATATATGCTCTGTTAGCTAGATCTTAGGATACAGTTTGATATATGCTCTGTTAGCTAGATCTTAGGATAAGGTTTGATATATGCTCTGTTAGCTAGATCTTAGGATACAGTTTGCTATATGCTCTGTTAGCTAGATCTTAGGATACAGTTTGATATATGCTCTGTTAGCTAGATCTAAGGATAAGGTTTGATATATGCTCTGTTAGCTAGATCTTAGGATAAGGTTTGATATATGCTCTGTTAGCTAGATCTTAGGATAAGGTTTGATATATGCTCTGTTAGCTAGATCTTAGGATACAGTTTGCTATATGCTCTGTTAGCTAGATCTTAGGATACAGTTTGCTATATGCTCTGTTAGCTAGATCTTAGGATACAGTTTGATATATGCTCTGTTAGCTAGATCTAAGGATAAGGTTTGATATATGCTCTGTTAGCTAGATCTTAGGATAAGGTTTGATATATGCTCTGTTAGCTAGATCTTAGGATACAGTTTGATATATGCTCTATTAGCTAGATCTTAGGATAAGGTGCTGTTATTTGTAGGCTAGCAGCGAAGATGCTATGGGTGAGATGTATGCGTCCATGGTTGAGAAATATGAAACACTTGACAAGGATTATGACATGCTGAGAGAGAAATACTCCCAGCTGGCTGGCAGTCACAGTGCTGCCCTGAGCCGATTGGATGGGCTGACAGAAGAGATGATGGCTCTGAGGGCCCAACTGGAGGATCAACAGAACAAGAATGATGCCCTAACCCAGGAGAGGAATGGCCTGAAGCAACAGTGTACAAATGCTATCAGAGAGTGGAACCAGGTACTTATTACCCTTGAACCTTGTCATAAGTCTCAGTGGTGACACTTCTTAATAGTTAACCTCAGTAAGTGGTGACACTTATTAGTTAACCTCAGTAAGTGGTGAAACTTCTTAATAGTTAACCTCAGTAAGTGGCGACACTTGTTAGTTAACCTCAGTAAGTGGTGAAACTTCTTAATAGTTAACCTAAGTAAGTGGTGACACTTGTTAGTTAACCTCAGTAAGTGGTGACACTTGCTAGTTAACCTCAGTAAGTGGTGACACTTGCTAGTTAACCTCAGTAAGTGGTGACACTTCTTAATAGTTAACCTAAGTAAGTGGTGACACTTGTTAGTTAACCTCAGTAAGTGGTGACACTTGCTAGTTAACCTCAGTAAGTGGTGACACTTGCTAGTTAACCTCAGTAAGTGGTGACACTTCTTAATAGTTAACCTAAGTAAGTGGTGACACTTCTTAATAGTTAACCTCAGTAAGTGGCGAAACTTGCTTAACCTCAGTAAGTGGTGACACTTGCTAGTTAACCTTAGTAAGTGGTGACACTTGTTAGTTAACCTCAGTAAGTGGTGACACTTCTTAATAGTTAACCTCAGTAAGGGGTGAAACTTCTTAATAGTTAACCTCAGTAAGTGGTGACACTTGTTAGTTAACCTCAGTAAGTGGTGACACTTGCTAGTAGTTAACCTCAGTAAGTGGTGACACATCTTAATAGTTAACCTCAGTAAGTGGTGAAACTTGCTAGTTAACCTCAGTAAGTGGTGAAACTTGCTAGTTAACCTCAGTAAGTGGTGACACTTGCTAGTTAACCTCAGTAAGTGGTGACACTTGTTAGTTAACCTCAGTAAGTGGTGACACTTGCTAGTAGTTAACTTCAGTAAGTGGTGACACTTGTTAGTTAACCTCAGTAGGTGGTGACACTTGCTAGTTAACCTCAGTAAGTGGTGACACTTGCTAGTTAACCTCAGTAAGTGGTGACACTTGTTAGTTAATCTCAGTAAGTGGTGACACTTGCTAGTAGTTAACCTCAGTAAGTGGTGACACTTGTTAGTTAATCTCAGTAAGTGGTGACACTTGTTAGTTAATCTCAGTAAGTGGTGACACTTGTTAGTTAACCTCAGTAAGTGGTGACACTTGCTAGTAGTTAACCTCAGTAAGTGGTGACACTTGTTAGTTAACCTCAGTAAGTGGTGACACTTGCTAGTAGTTAACCTCAGTAAGTGGTGACACTTGCTAGTTAATCTCAGTAAGTGGTGACACTTGCTAGTTAACCTCAGTAAGTGGTGACACTTGCTAGTAGTTAACCTCAGTAAGTGGTGACACTTGCTAGTTAACCTCAGTAAGTGGTGACACTTGCTAGTAGTTAACCTCATTAAGTGGTGACACTTGCTAGTTAACCTCAGTAAGTAGTGACACTTGCTTGTAGTTAACCCCAGTAAGTGGTGACACTTGCTAGTTAACCTCAGTTAGTGGTGACACTTGCTAGTAAATCTCAGTATGTGGTGACACTTGTTAGTTAACCTCAGTAAGTGGTGACACTTGTTAGTTAACCTCAGTAAGTGGTGACACTTGCTAGTTAACCTCAGTAAGTGGTGACATTTGCTAGTAGTTAATCTTAGTAAGTGGTGACACTTGCTAGTAGTTAACCCCAGTAAGTGGTGACACTTGTGAGTTAACCTCAGTAAATGGTGACACTTGCTAGTTAACCTCAGTAAGTGGTGACACTTGCTAGTTAACCTCAGTAAGTGGTGACACTTGCTAGTTAACCTCAGTAAGAAACAATGTATGTTTTAGACTCTGTACAACCTGGGTCAGATGAAGGAAAAGTTGAGTCTGGTCATCAAGCAGCGAGATGATTTCTGTACTGATTTCAACCAGACCTTTGCCAAACATGCTGAGTTAAAGAAAAGCTTTGAGGCTCTTAGGGCAGAGAAGGATGCAGCAGTCAAGGAATATGCTTTAGTCATGTCTGAGAGGGACACTGTTCATAAAGTTAGTACTCAACATATTTTCACTTCCAACACACTCACCCCCTCTTTAACTCACTCACCCTAACCTCTTGTTGTAACTTATTACAGAAAATGTTAGTTAACCCTAACCCTCTACAGAAAATGTTAGTCAACCCTAACCCTTTTACAGAAAATGTTACAGTTAACCCTAACCCTCTACAGAAAATGTTAGTTAACCCTAACCCTCTACCAAAAATGTTACAGTTAACCCTAACCCTCTACCAAAAATGTTACAGTTAACCCTAACCCTGTACAGAAAATGTTACAGTTAACCCTAACCCTCTACAGAAAATGTTACAGTTAACCCTAACCCTGTACAGAAAATGTTACAGTTAACCCTAACCCTCTACAGAAAATGTTACAGTTAACCCTAACCCTCTACAGAAAATGTTAGTCAATCCTAACCCTCTACAGATAATGTTACAGTTAACCCTCATCTCTGCAGGAAATTGAACAACTCCAAGATAAGCTGAATGCTGTAGGAAAGCATGCAGAGAAATTGAGCATAGAAAAAAAAACTCTAGAGGTGGAGCTCGAGTCAGTCAGGCATGACATGAGCACTGTTTTAACTGAAAGAGACAAGTACAGGCGGGAAAGAAATGACATGAGTGGCATCAACCAGGTACACAGTTTTCTAGTTGTCAATATTTCTCTTTTTGAAGGTGACTCACCTCCATGAGAGGGACACTGTTCATAAAGTTAGTACTCAATCCAACACATTTTCACTTCCAACACACTCACCCCAACCTCTTTAACTCACCCCAACCTCTTTAACTCACCCCAACCTCTTTAACTCACCCCAACCTCTTTAACTCACCCCAACCTTTTTAACTCACTCACCCCAACCTCTTTAACTCACCCCAACCTCTTTAACTCACCCCAACCTCTTTAACTCACCCCAACCTCTGCACAAGACACATGGGGCGATGAAGCAGAGTTGAGCTGTTTCAGTTGCCTCCTGTAGGCTCAGCACTAAATCCAGCTGCCTTTACTAAAGTGAGTTTGGTACCCATCAGAGCTGGGTGGACTAGGGGATGTCTTTTAGACTCAAGCCCGGATCTGAACTTGAGGCTCTCTAGTTAGTAGTTGTAAGCTCTACCGTTTGACCACACTGTCCCCAGACTTACTTCTATAGAGACTTGGATCTTTAGTAAGGTCACTTAACTCTGTGTGTTTACATTAGTGGTGTACCTTTTTAGCTTTACATTAGTGGTGTAGTGTACCTTTTTAGCTTTACATTAGTGGTGTACCTATTTGGCTTTACATTAGTGGCATACCTTTTTGGCTTTACATTAGTGGTGTACCTTTTTAGCTTTACATTAGTGGTGTACCTTTTTAGCTTTACATTAGTGGTGTAGTGTACCTTTTTAGCTTTACATTAGTGGTGTACCTATTTGGCTTTACATTAGTGGCGTACCTTTTTGGCTTTACATTAGTGGTGTACCTTTTTGGCTTTACATTAGTGGCGTACCTTTTTGGCTTTACATTAGTGGTGTACCTTTTTGGCTTTACATTAGTGGTGTACCTTTTAGGCTTTACATTAGTGGTGTACCTTTTTAGCTTTACATTAGTGGTGTACCTTTTTAGCTTTACATTAGTGGTGTACCATTTTAGCTTTACATTAGTGGCGTACCTTTTTGGCTTTACATTAGTGGTGTACCTTTTTGGCTTTACATTAGTGGTGTACCTTTTAGGCTTTACATTAGTGGTGTACCTTTTTAGCTTTACATTAGTGGTGTACCTTTTTAGCTTTACATTAGTGGTGTACCATTTTAGCTTTACATTAGTGGTGTACCTTTTTAGCTTTACATTAGTGGTGTACCATTTTAGCTTTACATTAGTGGTGTACCTTTTAGGCTTTACATTAGTGGTGTACCTTTTTAGCTTTACATTAGTGGTGTACCTTTTTAGCTTTACATTAGTGGTGTACCATTTTAGCTTTACATTAACTGATTCCATCTGACACCCTGTTCCACCACATGGCCTGAGTATTTCAACAATCCAATTTACAGAGACCTCATCTATGTTAAAGTTCTAGTGCTTATGCCTTCCTGACTAAATATTACTATAAATGTTCTTGAATTTTCATTACTAAATTCTAGAATTAAATTCAATTCAATTGGTTAAAGTCATGCCTGGTGTCCTTCTGATCCTCCATTGCCCTCTGTTCCTGGCCTGGCCCTGTTCCTTGCCTGGCTCTGTTCCTTGCCTAGCGCTGTTCCTTCCCTGGCTCTGTTCCTTGCCTGGCCCTGTTCCTTGCCTGGCCCTGTTCCTTGCCTGGCTCTGTTCCTTGCCTAGCTCTGTTCCTTGCCTGGCCCTGTTCCTTGCCTGGCTCTGTTCCTTGCCTGGCCCTGTTCCTTGCCTGGCTCTGTTCCTTGCCTGGCTCTGTTCCTTGCCTAGTGCTGTTCCTTGCCTAACCCTGTTCCAGGCCTGGCTCTGTTCCTTGCCTAGTGCTGTTCCTTGCCTAACCCTGTTCCTGGCCTGGCTCTGTTCCTTGCCTGGCTCTGTTCCTTGCCTGGCTCTGTTCCTTGCCTGGCCCTGTTCCTTGCCTGGCTCTGTTCCTTGCCTGGCTCTGTTCCTTGCCTGGCTCTGTTCCTTGCCTGGCTCTGTTCCTTGCCTAGCGCTGTTCCTTACCTGGCCCTGTTCCTTGCTTGGCTCTGTTCCTTGCCTGGCTCTGTTCCTTGCCTAGTGCTGTTCCTTGCCTAGCGCTGTTCCTTGCCTAGCCCTGTTCCTTGCCTGGCCCTGTTCCTTGCCTGGCCCTGTTCCTTGCCTGGCTCTGTTCCTTGCCTGGCTCTGTTCGTTGCCTGGCTCTGTTCCTTGCTTGGCTCTGTTCGTTGCCTGGCTCTGTTCCTTGCCTGGCTCTGTTCCTTGCCTAGCGCTGTTCCTTACCTGGCCCTGTTCCTTACCTGGCCCTGTTCCTTGCTTGGCTCTGTTCCTTGCCTGGCTCTGTTCCTTGCCTGGCTCTGTTCCTTGCCTAGCGCTGTTCCTTACCTGGCCCTGTTCCTTACCTGGCCCTGTTCCTTACCTGGCCCTGTTCCTTGCTTGGCTCTGTTCCTTGCCTGGCTCTGTTCCTTGCCTGGCTCTGTTCCTTGCCTAGCGCTGTTCCTTACCTGGCCCTGTTCCTTACCTGGCCCTGTTCCTTGCCTGGCTCTGTTCCTTGCCTGGCTCTGTTCCTTGCCTGGCTCTGTTCCTTGCCTAGCTCTGTTCCTTGCCTAGTGCTGTTCCTGGCCTGGCTCTGTTCCTTGCCTGGCTCTGTTCCTTGCCTGGCTCTGTTCCTTGCCTGGCCCTGTTCCTTGCCTGGCTCTGTTCCTTGCTTAGCGCTGTTCCTTGCCTAGCCCTGTTCCTTGCCTAGCCCTGTTCCTTGCCTAGCCCTGTTCCTTGCCTAGCCCTGTTCCTTGCCTGGCGCTGTTCCTTGCCTGGCTCTGTTCCTTGCTTGGCTCTGTTCCTTGCCTGGCTCTGTTCCTTGCCTAGCGCTGTTCCTTGCCTAGCCCTGTTCCTTGCCTAGCCCTGTTCCTTGCCTGGCCCTGTTCCTTGCCTGGCCCTGTTCCTTGCCTGGCTCTGTTCCTTGCCTGGCGCTGTTCCTTGCCTGGCCCTGTTCCTTGCCTGGCCCTGTTCCTTGCCTGGCCCTGTTCCTTGCCTGGCCCTATTCCTTGCCTAGCGCTGTTCCTTCCCTGGCTCTGTTCCTTGCCTGGCTCTGTTCCTTGCCTAGTGCTGTTCCTTACCTGGCCCTGTTCCTTGCCTAGCGCTGTTCCTTGCCTGGCTCTGCTCCTTGCCTGGCTCTTGGAATGTTATTCCTAACATCTTGGTATGTTATTCCTAACATCTTGGTATGTTATTCTTATTATCTTTCAATAACATTTCACTTCCATGGCTTGAACTTCTAGTTCCTAATTCAGCTGTCATCCTTTAAGATGATGACACATTTAAAAATGTGGCCATGGCTTTTGAACACATGTCTTGAGTAGTTTTAAGCAAACTGTAACATATGGGGTAACTCACTGTTCCAAACTTACTTTACAGTAAACTGTAACATATGGGGTAACTCACTGTTCCAAACTTACTTTACAGTAAACTGTAACATATGGGGTAACTCACTGTTCCAAACTTACTTTACAGTAAACTGTAACATATGGGGTAACTCACTGTTCCAAACTTACTTTACAGTAAACTGTAACATATGGGGTAACTCACTGTTCCAAACTTACTTTACAGTACATGGCCAAATGGGGCTTGTTAGAAAGAAACTGTTGATGATTTTCTTCTTTGTTTGACAAAGCAGGGCCTGAAACACGAACGTTTGGACTTTCAGAAACGCATGGAGCAACAGAGAGACTTGGCCAGGAAAGAGAGGAATGAAGCATATGAACAGATGGAACACATGGAACAGCTCATTAAGGAGAACTATGAGAAGACACAAAAGGAGAGGGCTCAAGAGGTGGAAAACATTTTGAAAGATTCGGAGAATCTCAAGAAGCAGTTAGAGAAGTTAAAAGTTGACCTTGATAGTAAGTTCACCAAGTTCAAGTTGCTTCAAGAGTTTGTAAGTTAAAGTTAATGTAGATAGTGATTTGATGAAGTTAATGTAGATAGTGATTTGATGAAGTTAATGTAGATAGTGATTTGATGAAGTTAATGTAGATAGTGATTTGATGAAGTTAATGTAGATAGTGATTTGATGAAGTTAATGCAGATAGTGATTTGATGAAGTTAATGTAGATAGTGATTTGATGAAGTTAATGTAGATAGTGATTTGATGAAGTTAATGTAGATAGTGATTTGATAAAGTTAATGTAGATAGTGATTTGATAAAGTTAATGTAGATAGTAATTTGATAAAGTTAATGTAGATAGTAATTTGATAAAGTTAATGTAGATAGTAATTTGATGAAGTTAATGTTAATTTAGACAGTAATTGGGTCAAGTTTAAGTTGATCAATAGCTCCGGTTCTTAATCTGGGTTTGATCTAACCCCAAAGGTTAGGTGAGTCAGTCTCAGGGGTTCAGTGTATGTCAATAAACACAGCTAACTCATACGGTTCACTATCTGATTTGTCATTGTGGATAATAGAACTAATTAGAAGGGTCCAGTGAATATGTATAAGAAGCTTATGGGGTTTGATACCTCCTAAAAGGTTAAGAACCACTGATTTATAGAGTAAGTTAAGCATGATCTAGAGAGAAGTGGACAAGTTAACTAGGGAAATGTTTGTTTAGATGCTGAGCAAGAAGCAGAGAATGCCAATAAAAACCGAGATAAAGCCTTCAGTGAGAGGGACAAAATAGTTCAAGAGAGAGAAAGTATTCGCAGCCTCTGTGACAACTTGAGACGGGACAGGGATCGGGCAGTCAGCGACCTGGCCCAAGCTCTCAGAGACTCAGATGAGTTCAAAAGACAGAAAAATGAGGCAGTTAAGGAGCTCAAAGAAATCAAGTTAGTTCACCATTCTAATCTAGTACACAATCTCTGTTTATGATCCAATCCCAGTTCACCATTCTAATCTAGTACACAATCTCTGTTTATGATCCAATCCCAGTTCACCATTCTAATCTAGTACACAATCTCTGTTTATGATCCAATCCCAGTTCACCATTCTAATCTAGTACACAATCTCTGTTTATGATCCAATCCCAGTTCACCATTCTAATCTAGTACACAATCTCTGTTTATGATCCAATCCCAGTTCACCATTCTAATCTAGTACACAATCTCTGTTTATGATCCAATCCCAGTTCACCATTCTAATCTAGTACACAATCTCTGTTTATGATCCAATCCCAGTTCACCATTCTAATCTAGTACACAATCTCTGTTTATGATCCAATCCCAGTTCACCATTCTAATCTAGTACACAATCTCTGTTTATGATCCAATCCCAGTTCACCATTCTAATCTAGTACACAATCTCTGTTTATGATCCAATCCCAGTTCACCATTCTAATCTAGTACACAATCTCTGTTTATGATCCAATCCCAGTTCACCATTCTAATCTAGTACACAACCTCTGTTTATGATCCAATCACAGTTCACCATTCTAATCTAGTACACAATCTCTGTTTATGATCCAATCCCAAAATCTTTGGCCCAGAACCTGCACAGTTAGTCATCTGTTCATAAGACTAGGACTTCCAAGTGCTTTTGTCCACGTCCAGTTAGTCATCTGTTCATAAGACTAGGACTTCCAAGTGCTTTTGTCCACGTCTGTTCATCTGACTGCTACTTATATCTCCAATGCCATGTTTGTGCAGGCATTCCAAAGTGTACAATAGCTAGCCCATATCCAATGCCATGTTTGTGAAGACATTCCAAAGTGTCCAATAGCTAGACCATATGTACAAGAATATAGCTGGTCCTAGAAAAGATTTAATCTGTTTATGCCCTTAAAAGAAAAATTGTAAGCAGCTAAATCTTTTTCAATTTTATTTCAAGTAATATTTCCTTAAAATTTAAAATTGATCTCTGAATTGTTATTAGAAATGTATCTATGCTCCCTATATTGATGGGAAAATGTATCTATGATCCCTATATTGATGGGAAATGTATCTATGCTCCCTATATTGATGGGAAAATGTATCTATGCTCCCTATATTGATGGAAAATGTATCTATGCTCCCTATATTGATGGGAAAATGTATCTATGCTCCCTATATTGATGGGAAATGTATCTATGCTCCCTATATTGATGGGAAAATGTATCTATGATCCCTATATTGATGGGAAAATGTATCTATGCTCCCTATATTGATGGGAAAATGTATCTATGCTCCCTATATTGATGGGAAAATGTATCTATGCTCCCTATATCCATGGGAAAATGTATCTATGCTCCCTATATTGATGGGAAAATGTATCTATGATCCCTATATTGATGGGAAAATGTATCTATGCTCCCTATATTGATGGGAAAATGTATCTATGCTCCCTATATTGATGGGAAAATGTATCTATGCTCCCTATATTGATGGGAAATGTATCTATGCTCCCTATATTGATGGGAAAATGTATCTATGATCCCTATATTGATGGGAAAATGTATCTATGCTCCCTATATTGATGGGAAAATGTATCTATGCTCCCTATATTGATGGGAAAATGTATCTATGCTCCCTATATTGATGGGAAAATGTATCTATGATCCCTATATTGATGGGAAAATGTATCTATGCTCCCTATATTGATGGGAAATGTATCTATGCTCCCTATACTGATGGGAAAATGTATCTATGCTCCCTATATCCATGGGAAAATGTATCTATGCTCCCTATATTGATGGGAAATGTATCTATGCTCCCTATATTGATGGGAAAATGTATCTATGCTCCCTATATCCATGGGAAAATGTATCTATGATCCCTATACTGATGGGAAAATGTATCTATGCTCCCTATATTGATGGGAAAATGTATCTATGCTCCCTATATTGATGGGAAAATGTATCTATGCTCCCTATATTGATGGGAAAATGTATCTATGCTCCCTATATCCATGGGAAAATGTATCTATGCTCCCTATATTGATGGGAAAATGTATCTATGATCCCTATATTGATGGGAAAATGTATCTATGATCCCTATATTGATGGGAAAATGTATCTATGCTCCCTATATTGATGGGAAAATGTATCTATGCTCCCTATATTGATAAGAAAATGTATCTATGATCCCTATATTGATGGGAAAATGTATCTATGCTCCCTATATTGATGGGAAAATGTATCTATGCTCCCTATATTGATGGGAAATGTATCTATGCTCCCTATATTGATGGGAAAATGTATCTATGATCCCTATATTGATGGAAATTGTATCTATGGTCCCTATATCCATGGGAAAATGTATCTATGCTCCCTATATCCATGGAAAATGTATCTATGCTCCCTATATTGATGGGAAATGTATCTATGCTCCCTATATTGATGGGAAAATGTATCTATGCTCCCTATATTGATGGAAAATGTATCTATGCTCCCTATATCCATGGAAAATGTATCTATGCTCCCTATATCCATGGAAAATGTATCTATGCTCCCTATATTGATGGGAAAATGTATCTATGCTCCTTATATTGATGGGAAAATGTATCTATGCTCCCTATATCCATGGAAAATGTATCTATGCTCCCTAAATTGATGGGAAAATGTATCTATGATCCCTATACTGATGGGAAAATGTATCTATGCTCCCTATATCCATGGGAAAATGTATCTATGCTCCCTATATTGATGGGAAAATGTATCTATGCTCCCTATATTGATGGGAAATGTATCTATGCTTCCTATATTGATGGGAAAATGTATCTATGCTCCCTATATTGATGGGAAAATGTATCTATGATCCCTATATTGATGGGAAAATGTATCTATGATCCCTATATTGATGGGAAAATGTATCTATGATCCCTATATTGATGGGAAATGTATCTATGCTCCCTATATTGATGGGAAAATGTATCTATGCTCCCTATATTGATGGGAAAATGTATCTATGATCCCTATATTGATGGGAAAATGTATCTATGCTCCCTATATTGATGGGAAATGTATCTATGCTCCCTATATTGATGAGAAATGTATCTATGCTCCCTATATTGATGGGAAAATGTATCTATGCTCCCTATATTGATGGGAAAATGTATCTATGATCCCTATATTGATGGGAAATGTATCTATGCTCCCTATATTGATGGGAAAATGTATCTATGATCCCTATATTGATGGGAAAATGTATCTATGCTCCCTATATTGATGGGAAATGTATCTATGATCCTTATATCCAGACAAAAAAGTCTAGTTAGATTGTAAGTTACATCTCTGGACTATGATAGGTGTGTTTGGCTTATTGGCAGGATTGTTCTCTGGCTCAGTTTTGTTTATTTTGTATTGATTTAACACCTACACATTTCTTCCCCCAGAAATGGATATGAAACAATGGGCGACAATAGGCGTCAACACCTCCATTATATTGGACATAACCATAGCCGAGATTCTGCAATAGATGCTGACTTACAAGAACTGGGCACTGAGACTGTGGAGATTCCCATTGAACTGGTCATTATTACACTTTCTCAATTTTGTCTTGCAATATACAAGTAATAAAGGTGTTAGATATTTTTAAAAGTACATTCTTTACAGTAAGTTGAATATCCTTTTAAATTACCTCCCCTGCCAAAATTATTAAACAATAATAAGGGAAAATATTATTTGACATTGACCTGTTAAATATGTTTTAGCAATGTGCATGTATGTAGTATTTTATTCACAATTAAAAAACAACTTTGCTGCTGATTAAAAATTTAGCCGATTAAAAATTTAAGCCGGTACGTAATTAGTTTCTACTCCATTACAAATGATAAGAAGCACTGCATGTGTTGTTTTCTTCTATGATTCTAGAATCTGTAGGCAGACTGACTGACACACTACCTCTCAGCTTATAATATATATATATAAATCAGGGATGTGACTTTTCCGAATTTTAGCGGAAATCCGATTTTTCTGTTTCAGTTGCGATTTTCCTCCTCTGATTTAATTTTTGCCGAATTTTTCCGCAGAGTTTCAATTTTTTCGATTTTTTACGAAGTTTTAAATATTAGGAAAAAAAACCGGAAATGTCTTCTACGGAAAGGGTCGACATGCTCATTCCACTTATTCGTATTTAAATCGACAATTACTGTACTTAGGTCAAACGGACACTGGAATATGCGCATTTCTTTTCGATTGGTCGATTGCGCTAGGTCTGACGGTGCTAGATCAAGATTAAATGTGTAGATTAAGATTCGGAATTTCAGCGGACTTACGAATTTTTCAAAGCACAATTTTTTTAGTTCAAATTTTCCGCTGATATTTTCAGTTAACTATTTATCAAAAACACGGGAAAAGGTAATCTAAAATAATGCAGTTATTCAAATGAAACTTACATCTCTTAAGCCTGGTAATCTAGCTATCGATATAGCCTAATTTACCTATCGGTATTTTAACCCGCCTAAATCCAGAGTTTCTCTCTGATTCTATTTTATTTCTCAATCTCAAATTAATATTGAAATCCTTGCAAAAGATGACTGAGGACTAGACAAACCCGCCCCACCTAGTAGCAACGGTGGCTCTTGTGACCTCGCCTTGACCGCACGTACGTGTTCGGTACTGCTTGTGGGAAAAAAATGACGTCACAGTCAATTTCAAATAGCTGTTCCTGCAATACGTAGGCCTATGCTTCGTAGGCCTACAGATAAAAAAAAATACTAAACTCAACGTGACTACAACCGTGTCTTGTTTGTGGAAGAAAAAATACGTTCAGACTGTGGGGGGAGTCTGGCTTTTGTAGGAAAGAGGGGAGGTAAATATCGTCAAAAAAAAACGTGGATGACCCCTAACAATTTACAGCTATTCTAAAAAAACATAAATATCGATGTGGCTTGGTTATCATAATGATTAACTTTGGTTCACACGTCAGCCCCTTTCTAATTTTAGCTAACCTGGTCCATTTCATTTTTCCATCACATGAACCTAAAACTTTCAAATTGTAACTAATCTTAATCTAGGGTCTTGAAGACAAATATTTTTACCAATCAAATCTTTAAAAGAATATAAGGCATTAGGCCCCCTATTTAAAAATTGAAAACAGGAGTACATCTAGAATCTACACTAGATTAGTACCGTTTAAATTAGCTTAATGGTAAAAGAAAACTTAATTGCTACTTTTGTTACATTGTAATTTTTAAAAAGTTGTTTATAAGGTAAACATTAAATTGCAATTAGACAAGACTTTCAATGTTATTTTAGAGTAACATAAACTTCTTGTATTTAATATATTAACTTCATTAAACAATTAATTAGTACAGTAACAGTATGGAAGCTGCTTAACCGCGATAAAAAATAGATAAAACATATTGAGTTATTATCCAAAGAAAATTTCCTAATTATTTTTCCTGGTCTGGTCACATCCCTGATATATATATATATATATATATATATATATATATATATATATATATATATATATATATATATATATATATAGTTTGTTAACAGATTGCGCCTCTATTTGCTCTATTCACCCCCCCCCCCCCCACAGGTTTACAACCTTTTTAGTATTGCAAAAAGATGTGCAACAATGAGCCTAGGCTACAAATGTAATGAAACTATAGATGGGGCAACAATGAGCCTAGGCTACAAATGTAATGAAACTATAGATGGGGCAACAATGAGCCTAGGCTACAAATGTAATGAAACTATAGATGGGGCAACAATGAGCCTAGGCTACTAATGTAATGAAACTATAGATGGGGCAACAATGAGCCTAGGCTACAAATGTAATGAAACTATAGATGGGGCAACAATGAGCCTAGGCTACAAATGTAATGAAACTATAGATGGGGCAACAATGAGCCTAGGCTACTAATGTAATGAAACTATAGATGGGGCAACAGTGAGCCTAGGCTACAAATGTAATGAAACTATAGATGGGGCAACAATGAGCCTAGGCTACAAATGTAATGAAACTATAGATGGGGCAACAATGAGCCTAGGCTACTAATGTAATGAAACTATAGATGGGGCAACAATGAGCCTAGGCTACTAATGTAATGAAACTATAGATGGGGCAACAATGAGCCTAGGCTACTAATGTAATGAAACTATAGATGGGGCAACAATGAGCCTAGGCTACAAATGTAATGAAACTATAGATGGGGCAACAATGAGCCTAGGCTACAAATGTAATGAAACTGACTTTATTGCAGCACTGTGCAGGAAGTGAAGAGCTGGGCTTTGATGTGATAGGGGGCAAGGAAGACCCCCAGTTTGACAATGATCCATCATTGATAGTCAGTCATGTGACCAAAGGAGGAGCAGCAGAGGGTAAGCTTAAAGTCAATGACACTGTCCTCAGGATCAACAGTCTAGAGACCATCAATGTGGACAAAAGGACAGCTCTTCAGGCCATTAGAAGAAGTGCTGGTGCCATTCACCTGGTAAGTTTTTTCCTAGTCTCATTATGGTAACTACTGTTGATGACAACAATAAATGCATGTTATAGACATGGTTTGTTTTTCTTCAGGTTGTGAGGAGGAGAAAGACAACAAGGACCTGGCAACCTGTCCAGATTGTTCTGGCTTGCCAAAAAGGTTAGCAACTAATGAACATGTTCTAGCTCTTTTGTGTCCAGTCTTATGAAAGCTGCTACTGTGTCTCTTTGATGCATAATTTAAACCACAATATATATTCTTCAATTCTTTTCTTCTAACTTTAATTAATATACATTTTTGTATTTTTTTCTCTATTTTGTTCCTTTTTGTGACTTGGTGTGTTCTAGACTTGGTGGGTTCTAGACTTGGTGTGTTCTAGACTTGGTGTGTTCTAGACTTGGTGTGTTCTAGACTTGGTGTGTTCTAGACTTGGTGTGTTCTAGACTTGGTGTGTTCTAGACTTAGTGTGTCTCTTTTCCAGAAGCTGGCATTCAAATAGAACAAGGTTTATTCATCAGCGGTATTTGTCCTGGTGGGTTGGTGGCCAAGTATGGAGTCTTGCCTTGCATTGGTGATAGGATTATTCATGTAAGTATAGCCACCTTTGGATCTATTGATGTGCCAATACTCTATCACACGGTTCCCAGAAAAACGAGCAATCTGAAAACTGTACAACTGAAAACTGCACAAACAGAACAATCAGCAAATACAAACTAATCACACTAATACACTTTAAGATTGTCTTATTTTGTTTAAATGTTTTATTACACTACAAGGTGCATGTAATCACTCTTCTTTTGTCTATTAATGCTTGATTTAAGAAAACAAAATGCCATTGCTCACCTTGTTTGTGCACAGTTTTCCGCTGCACAGTTTTCCGCTGCACAGTTTTCCGCTGCACAGTTTCCTTTGTGTCACCCTATCACTCCTATTGTTTGTCATTTCTGTAAACTGCCATAGATTTTTGAATGTAGAAATTGTTTCAGATCAACAAGATGCCAGCGGAAAGCTTGAGTGCCCGTGATGCTATGAGAATCTTAGAAAGCTCCACAGATCCCCTAGTCCTAGAAGTCTGGAGACAGGCATCACCTTTAAGCTCTGCTGGCTCTTCTCCCACCCCCACTTGTACTGGCATCAACTCCCCACTGCCAGATGGCAGCTCCATAAGCAAGTCTGACAGTCTGGCCATGCAGGGCTGTTCATGGGAAACAGCTTGTCACGTTAACCTTGAGGGCAGCAAAAACCTGCGCAGCAGTGGTTCACAGACAGACAGCCTGGACAGTCCTGGCAAACAGGAGCAGGAGAAGACCAGGCACAGTTTACCTATGTTAGACAGGGCCAAGGAGAAAGTGGAGAACTTTTTCCGCCCTAGGCCAAAGAGTCAGGAGAGGGAGCTTGTTGAGGAGGACTGTGGTACCCAGATCAACCTGCGCAGCACAGAGAGTGTCATCGCACAGTTCCCTGACAGCACAGCCAGAGCTGACATGACTTCTTCAAAGTCACCTCGCAAAGAATTGGACTTTGAAACCAATAGTGGTACCTGGCCTAAAACAAGAGGTCAGCAGATGGACAGCACATGTGTCCACCCAACTGTCATCTGTGCACCAGGTCATAAACCTGTGAAAGAAAGACCAAGTATTCGGGATGTGTTCTATGGTGGGCCAGACTTTCATAGACCTGTCTCGTCCAGTGGACATCACCATGACTACCAGAGTTCTGCCTTCTCTCCCACCATGTCCTCCAACAGCCAAGCACAACATGCCCCACACAGCACACAGTACACACCATTCAGCATTCCAGTGTCTTTGAAATCTCATTTCTCAGTGGGTGTCATGCATGGCCCTGGGACACCCCCCCACACCTCTGTTGTAACAAGTGGAGGACCATCAGTGTTTCCTAAGCCTGCTCAAGTCTACAGCAGCCTGCAGGCAGGCACCCTGCCATCACAGGGGATCGCCCAACGGGGCAGTTTGATTTCTGCCCATGCAGGGGTTAGCCCAACAAGTACTGTGCCACAAGACTTTAGGTTTGACCCTACCACACACAGAGTTCCTCCAAAAACTCAACATGTAAGTCTCTCTACTATAGCAGTCATGTCAGTCTCTCTACTATAGCAGTCATGTCAGTCTCTCTACTATAGCAGTCATGTCAGTCTCTCTACTATAGCAGTCATGTCAGTCTCTCTACTATAGCAGTCATGTCAGTCTCTCTACTATAGCAGTCATGTCAGTCTCTCTACTATAGCAGTCATGTCAGTCTCTCTACTATAGCAGTCATGTCAGTCTCTCTACTATAGCAGTCATGTCAGTCTCTCTACTATAGCAGTCATGTCAGTCTCTCTACTATAGCAGTCATGTCAGTCTCTCTACTATAGCAGTCATGTCAGTCTCTCTACTATAGCAGTCATGTCAGTCTCTCTACTATAGCAGTCATGTCAGTCTCTCTACTATAGCAGTCATGTCAGTCTCTCTACTATAGCAGTCATGTCAGTCTCTCTACTATAGCAGTCATGTCAGTCTACTATAGCAGTCATGTCAGTCTCCCTACTATAGCAGTCATGTCAGTCTCTCTACTATAGCAGTCATGTCAGTCTCTCTACTATAGCAGTCATGTCAGTCTCTCTACTATAGCAGTCATGTCAGTCTCTCTACTATAGCAGTCATGTCAGTCTCTCTACTATAGCAGTCATGTCAGTCTCTCTACTATAGCAGTCATGTCAGTCTCTCTACTATAGCAGTCATGTCAGTCTCTCTACTATAGCAGTCATGTCAGTCTCTCTACTATAGCAGTCATGTCAGTCTCTCTACTATAGCAGTCATGTCAGTCTCTCTACTATAGCAGTCATGTCAGTCTACTATAGCAGTCATGTCAGTCTCTCTACTATAGCAGTCATGTCAGTCTCTCTACTATAGCAGTCAAGTCATTCTCCCTACTATAGCAGTCATGTCAGTCTCTCTACTATAGCAGTCATGTCAGTCTCTCTACTATAGCAGTCATGTCAGTCTCTCTACTATAGCAGTCATGTCAGTCTCCCTACTATAGCAGTCATGTCAGTCTCCCTACTATAGCAGTCATGTCATTCTCTCTACTATAGCAGTCATGTCAGTCTCTCTACTATAGCAGTCATGTCAGTCTCCCTACTATAGCAGTCATGTCAGTCACTCTACTATAGCAGTCATGTCAGTCTCTCTACTGTAGCAGTCATGTTAGTCTCCCTACTATAGCAGTCATTTTGCAGTCATGTATTTGTAGTTTATCACAATATGCCATCTCCATATCAAGACCAGCCCATTATTGTCTATTAATTGGGTCAAAATCAACTTTTTGAAATTAACAATCTGAAAAATATATTTTTTGTTGAAAGTTGAAAGCAAAAGAACTTCATAAACCAATTCTTTGGTTAGTGATCAAAAATGCTTTTGGTTGGCAGCCCTGTATTCTAGATGTGCAACGTTTGTGTCCAGTAGGCTTCAGGTTTGTGTCCAGTAGGCTTCAGGTTTGTGTCCAGTAGGCTTCAGGTTTGTGTCCAGTAGGCTTCAGGTTTGTGTCCAGTAGGCTTCAGGTTTGTGTCCAGTAGGCTTCAGGTTTGTGTCCAGTAGGCTTCAGGTTTGTGTCCAGTAGGCTTCAGGTTTGTGTCCAGTAGGCTTCAGGTTTGTGTCCAGTAGGCTTGAGGTTTGTGTCCAGTAGGCTTGAGGTTTGTGTCCAGTAGGCTTGAGGTTTGTGTCCAGTAGGCTTCATGTTTGTGTCCAGTAGGCTTGAGGTTTGTGTCCAGTAGGCTTCAGGTTTGTGTCCAGTAGGCTTCAGGTGAGTGTCAAGAAAGTCATTAATTGATTTATATTTACCAGAGAAAATCTCGCGGGCCAACATCAGCCCACAAACCTGCACTAGCACCAGCCTGTAATACTAGCAGCCTTCACTGGCAGACACCAGCGCCCATCCACTGGCCAACACCTGCTGCAGAGTCCAGTGGCCAACGTCCTGTCAGTGGGTCACAGTCCAGCTATTATGTTGTCAGTCCCCCTCCATACGGCATGAGGCCAACATCGCTGGAGGTCCATCCTTCAATGAAGATCTCTGAGTTTGATTTGTGCAGTGGACATCACCAGACATCCCCAGCAGACTGGCGACCAGCAAGTTATCATCCTTCAGTGTCAGTTGATTAGACTTATTTCTCTTATTGTAAGCTGACAGTGTCAGTTGATTAGACTTATTTCTCTTATTGTAAGCTGACCAGTGTCAGCTGACAGTGTCAGTTGATTAGACTTATTTCTCTTATTGTAAGCTGACAGTGTCAGTTGATTAGACTCTAAGCTCTCCTTAAGACACATGAAGCCACTTGCACCTACCTGTCTGTCTGTTGCAGCTCAACTCCCCTCCAGCATGCAGCTCTAGCATCTCTTGGTACATTCCCTGGCATCAGTCAGTCTGACATGGAGCAGGAGAAACACTTGTCTTTCACTAGGTCACCTAATGACCGCTACAGTTCACCAAGTCCATCTCAAAAGGTAATCAATCAATAGCCAACCATTAGTCTACCTACTTTAAGTGGCCCACCCAATTGGGGACCATGTCCACCAAATGCTCAATTAATTTTAATTGAGCACCCACCCCCCTCATGGCATTTACCCTGTGCCTAAGTTGTGTATGAACTTGAACAGAGCTGTAGCACCCACCCCCCTCATGGCATTTACCCTGTGCCTAAGTTGTGTATGAACTTGAACAGAGCTGTAGCACCCACCCCCCTCATGGCATTTACCCTGTACCTAAGTTGTGTATGAACTTGAACAGAGCTGTAGCACCCACCCCCCTCATGGCATTTACCCTGTGCCTAAGTTGTGTATGAACTTGAACAGAGCTGTAGCACCCACCCCCCTCATGGCATTTACCCTGTGCCTAAGTTGTGTATGAACTTGAACAGAGCTGTAGCACCCACCCCCCTCATGGCATTTACCCTGTGCCTAAGTTGTGTATGAACTTGAACAGAGCTGTAGCACCCACCCCCCTCATGGCATTTACCCTGTGCCTAAGTTGTGTATGAACTTGAACAGAGCTGTAGCACCCACCCCCCTCATGGCATTTACCCTGTGCCTAAGTTGTGTATGAACTTGAACAGAGCTGTAGCACCCACCCCCCTCATGGCATTTACCCTGTGCCTAAGTTGTGTATGAACTTGAACAGAGCTGTAGCACCCACCCCCCTCATGGCATTTACCCTGTGCCTAAGTTGTGTATGAACTTGAACAGAGCTGTAGCACCCACCCCCTTCATGGCCTTTACCCTGTGCCTAAGTTGTGTATGAACTTGAACAGAGCTGTAGCACCCACCCCCCTCATGGCATTTACCCTGTGCCTAAGTTGTGTATGAACTTGAACAGAGCTGTAGCACCCACCCCCCTCATGGCATTTACCCTGTGCCTAAGTTGTGTATGAACTTGAACAGAGCTGTAGCACCCACCCCCCTCATGGCATTTACCCTGTGCCTAAGTTGTGTATGAACTTGAACAGAGCTGTAGCACCCACCCCCTTCATGGCCTTTACCCTGTGCCTAAGTTGTGTATGAACTTGAACAGAGCTGTAGCACCCACCCCCCTCATGGCATTTACCCTGTGCCTAAGTTGTGTATGAACTTGAACAGAGCTGTAGCACCCACCCCCCTCATGGCATTTACCCTGTGCCTAAGTTGTGTATGAACTTGAACAGAGCTGTAGCACCCACCCCCCTCATGGCATTTACCCTGTGCCTAAGTTGTGTATGAACTTGAACAGAGCTGTAGCACCTTGGAGCGCTTCACTCCCAGCATCAGTGAAGAGCACTTTCCTAGCCGTTATTCACGAACTTCTCCACATGGCCGAACTTTTCTTGATGATGACATTCGTCAGGCAGCCAAAAGGGACAAAGTGTTTGAGCGTATCCGCATCCCATCCAGTACAAGTGTCAATACAAAGTCTGGCTCTGTAGAAATAGGTAAGTCATGTGTTTTACTTGAGGAGACTCAATAGCTTTCTTCCTAGTCACACCATTGACATATCTCTCCATCTCATTCAGTTCTATTTTTCTTGCTCAGTAAGTAATCTTGGAATCTAAATTTGAATGACAGTACATGTATTTTTTATTCTATTAGATGGACGATTATTAAATTGTAATTTAATAGTTTCTAATTTCAATAATAAAAGTGAGGATAACAAGATTAAAAAAACTTGATTAGAGGAACGTCAACGCTGAACTCTGTTCGGGGTCATCATTTACGACGTCCACGGGGGGGGGGGGGGGGGGGGGGTCCAGGTCCATGTGGATGTCCACTGCTGAATTTGACATCAAAATACTTTACTTCAAAAGTTTTAAAAACTAAAGAAAATGCATATAAAATGTGAGGTCATAGACCAACTTCTTTTTAAAACATGTCATATCTGGGACAAATGGATATAGTTGTCAAAACTGACCATGCATATTTCTCTTTATAATCATTGTAATTTATGTGAAAAACTGAAGGTAATTTTCATAAAGATTTTAGGGTACTTACTCTCTGTACTTCTGGCTAATTTTTTGCAGGCACATCGATAGATGGCTAGGCCGTATGGAAAAACTGTCGTTCAGATTCTAAGCCCTCAAAGAAGGCTAAAAAATGACCTTGGGTGAAATTCACCTTATATGAGCTATACATGGAAAATAAATTTTGCTCACTGACCTCCTATGCCACTCCTTGAGGTCCTACATTGACCCTGGAGGATAACAAAACAAACCGTTCAGCCCCTCAGAATAACCCGTGAGGGCCGTAAGATTTGACATGATGCTTTCTTATATAAACATAGCTATTTTTGTGAAAAAGTTGAACAAAAACGAAGTCGTTCACTCTTTGTAGAAGGGAGGTAATTTTTTAAAGTAAATTTTCAATCAATATTATACTTTTTAAAATAAAACCATAAAAAGACGATTTTAGCATTGTTTGAGAAAGAATTTCATCATACTTTGAATAAAAAATTGATGTTTTGAGTTTTATTATCAATCAAGGAAACCTGTAGTTCTAATACATTGCCAATAACAAGTTTGTGTAATTTTTTTTAAAAGGGAATTCTTTTAAGGTTAAATTACTGTTTAAACTTTAGCAGTCCACTTAACAGCTAATAACCAATTAATAATCATTCAAATTCTCAAATGTTTTTTGAAAGCCTAAGCGAAGCTATGCCTTGTAACTGATATAAAGTGAATTGTTTTTGTCATAACTTTATGTAACATTAAGTGTTTGTAAATCTGATACAAAATGAATTGGTTTTGTCAATGAATGTTGTTGAGTAATCTGAAAGTATTTTTGTCAATGAATGTTGTTGAGTAATCTGAAAGTATTTTTGTCAATGAATGTTGTTGAGTAATCTGAAAGTATTTTTGTCAATGAATGTTGTTGAGTAATCTGAAAGTTAAGTATTTTTGTCAATGAATGTTGTTGATTAATCTGAAAGTATTTTTCTCAATGAATGTTGTTGAGTAATCTGAAAGTATTTTTCTCAATGAATGTTGTTGAGTAATCTGAAAGTATTTTTGTCTACAGTATCTGACAGAAGCAGCCCAGGCTCTCCTTTGTTCCACATTGAGAAAAGAAACTCTGTCAAATACAATGGTTCACCCAATAGTGATGACTGCTGTTACAGAAGAAAAATGTCAGTACTACAAATTTAGTACAGCTTATTACAAAGTTTAGCTCTAACCACAAATTTAACCCAAAACTTAATGTTAATTTCACAAGTTTAGCTCTAACCACAAATTTAACCCAAAACTTAATGTTAATGTCACAAGTTTAGCTCTAACCACAAATTTAACCCAAAACTTAATGTTAATGTCACAAGTTTAGCTCTAACCACAAATTTAACCCAGACTTAATATTAATGTCACAAGTTTAGATCTAACCACAAATTTAACCCAAATCATAATGTTAATGTCACAAGTTTAGCTCTAACCATAAATTTAACCCAAAACTTAATGTTATAATCATTCTTAATTACAACACGAACCCTGTATTATGATGTTAATCTAATTACAAGATGAACCCTGTATTATGATGTTAATCTAATTACAAGATGAACCCTGTATTATGATGTTAATCTAATTACAAGATGAACCCTGTATTATGATGTTAATCTAATTACAAGATGAACCCTGTATTATGATGTTAATCTAATTACAAGATGAACCCTGTATTATGATGTTAATCTAATTACAAGATGAACCCTGTATTATGATGTTAATCTAATTACAAGATGAACCCTGTATTATGATGTTAATCTAATTACAAGATGAACCCTGTATTATGATGTTAATCTAATTACAAGATGAACCCTGTATTATGATGTTAATCTAATAACAAGATGAACCCTGTATTATGATGTTAATCTAATTACAAGATGAACCCTGTATTATGATGTTAATCTAATTACAAGATGAACCCTGTATTATGATGTTAATCTAATTACAAGATGAACCCTGTATTATGATGTTAATCTAATGACAAGATGAACCCTGTATTATGATGTTAATCTAATTACAAGATGAACCCTGTATTATGATGTTAATCTAATGACAAGATGAACCCTGTATTATGATGTTAATCTAATAACAAGATGAACCCTGTATTATGATGTTAATCTAATGACAAGATGAACCCTGTATTATGATGTTAATCTAATTACAAGATGAACCCTGTATTATGATGTTAATCTAATAACAAGATGAACCCTGTATTATGATGTTATTTGTAGCCCATGCCATCATGAGACGAGGGACATTACATTTGAGAAGAGCTCTAAACCCGTTGGCTTTAAAATCCAGAGAGGTCCTTCAGGGGGGATCTTTGTCTCATCTGTGTATGAGAATAGTTTGGCAGATCTTGCTGGTCTAGTCATTGGAGACCAACTGCTTGAGGTAGGCTAATGTTTGTGTAAGGGAGCTAAGTGTCTAGCAAAGATTGATATACCTGCTAATGTTTGTGTAAGGGAGCTAAGTGTCTAGCAAAGATTGATATACCTGCTAATGTTTGTGTAAGGGAGCTAAGTGTCTAGCAAAGATTGATATACCTGCTAATGTTTGTGTAAGGGAGCTAAGTGTCTAGCAAAGATTGATATACCTGCTAATGTTTGTGTAAGGGAGCTAAGTGTCTAGCAAAGATTGATATACCTGCTAATGTTTGTGTAAGGGAGCTAAGTGTCTAGCAAAGATTGATATACCTGCTAATGTTTGTGTAAGGGAGCTAAGTGTCTAGCAAAGATTGATATACCTGCTAATGTTTGTGTAAGGGAGCTAAGTGTCTATCAAAGATTGATATACCTGCTAATATTTGTGTAAGGGAGCTAAGTGTCTAGCAAAGATTGATATACCTGCTAATGTTTGTGTAAGGGAGCTAAGTGTCTAGCAAAGATTGATGTACCTGCTAATGTTTGTGTAAGGAAGCTACAATAGAGTTTTGCTTGTACCATTAGGTGTGTGGAATCAACATGAGAAATGCCAATTATGAGCATGCTGTGACTGTGCTGAGGCAGTGTGGAGACAATCTGACCATGAAGGTCCAATACAACCCAGAAAGTGAGTACAATCTGATTGCTTGAGGGCATACGTAATTAGATATACCAGATGACTATGTCATATTCTCATCTACCTGTTCACAATCTACATACACCAGATGTTCACAATCTACATACACCAGATGTTCACAATCTCCATATACCAGATGACAATGTTCATCTAGTGAGCTGTGATGTTTGTTAAGAAAAACGGAATTATGGTTCTAGACTTATTATGTCCATTGAGCTACCGGCTAGATTTTATCCTAGGACAGGGCCACCCACCTAGACAGGGCCACCCACCTTAGCTAGACAGGGATACCCACCTAGGACAGGGCCACCCACCTAGGACAGTGCCACCCACCTAGGACAGGGCCGCCCACCTAGGACAGGGCCACCCACCTAGGACAGGGCCACCCACCTAGGACAGGGCCACCCACATAGACAGGGCCACCCACCTAGGACAGGGCCACCCACCTAGGACAAGGCCTCCCACCTAGACAGGGCCACCCACCTAGGACAGGGCCACCCACTTAGGACAGGGCCACCCACCTAGACAGGGCCACCCACCTAGACAGGGCCACCCACATAGACAGGGCCACCCACCTAGGACAGGGCCACCCACCTAGGACAAGGCCTCCCACCTAGACAGGGCCACCCACCTAGGACAAGGCCTCCCACCTAGACAGGGCCACCCACCTAGGACATGGCCACCCACCTAGGACAGGGACACCCACCTTAGCTAGACAGGGACACCCACCTTAGCTAGACAGGGCCACCCACCTAGGACAGGGCCACCCACCTAGGACAGGGCCACCCACCTAGGACAGGGCCACCCACCTAGGACAGGGCCACCCACCTAGGACAGGGCCACCCACATAGACAGGGCCACCCACCTAGGACATGGCCACCAACCTAGGACAGGGCCACCCACCTAGGACAGGGCCACCCACCTAGACAGGGCCACCCACCTAGGACAGGGCCACCCACCTAGGACAGGGCCACCCACCTAGGACAGGGCCACCCACCTAGGACAGGGCCACCCACCTAGGACAGGGCCACCCACCTAGGACAGGGCCACCCACCTAGGACAGGGCCACCCACCTAGGACAGGGCCACCCACCTAGGACAGGGCCACCCACCTAGGACAGGGCCACCCACCTAGGACAGGGCCACCCACCTAGGACAGGGCCACCCACTTAGGACAGGGCCACCCACCTAGGACAGGGACACCCACCCAGGACAGGGCCACCCACCTAGGACAGGGCCACCCACCTAGGACAGGGCCACCCACCTAGGACAGGGCCACCCACCTAGGACAGGGCCACCCACCTAGGACAGGGCCACCCACCTAGGACAGGGCCACCCACCTAGGACAGGGCCACCCACCTAGGACAGGGCCACCCACCTAGGACAGGGCCACCCACCTAGGACAGGGCCACCCACCTAGGACAGGGCCTCCCACCTAGACAGGGCCACCCACCTAGGACAGGGACACCCACCTAGGACAGGGCCACCCACCTAGGACAGGGTCAGTTGATGTTTGATCTGCAGAGAGTTAACAGTAAAGATTTTCTTTCAGAGTATACTGACCATCAGGATGTGTCCAGCAGTGCAACATCCATCAACTCCTCCAGCATGGCTCCACCACACTCAGCAACTCCATCACGTCAGGCTAGTCCCAATAAAACTTATGGGTAGGTCGACATTTTCTCAGCCACTCATAGCTGTATTAGTCCCAATAAAACTTATGGGTAGGTCTACATTTTCTCAGCCACTCATAGCTGTATTAGTCCCAATAAAACTTATGGGTAGGTCTACATTTTCTCAGCCACTCATAGCTGTATTAACATCAAATCTGCATCAAGAAAACAAATTGCTTTTTTTACTTGCTGTCTACTTTAGAGAAGTAACTAGACAATTTATTTTCCTTTCTTAAATTTTGCTGAACTCAAGTTATCCTTGCCCTGAAAAATGGGAAAGCTTTTTCTACCAATTTTTAACTTATTGATTTTAAAATTTTTGTTAAATACAATGTAGATTAGACCAGTGTAAAAGAACAACAATAATGTCAGCATTGATTATTTTTTAGGCCCAGGATGTGCCTAACATAATCATTTAAGTCAAACTCTCTCAATTTCATCAGTGCAGTCATTTAAATATACCTGCAAATGTCAGGTGTAGTAGTAGTTTGTTCTGATGACACTTATGTTAAGTGGTGGTGTTGTAGTAGTTTGTTCTGATGACACTTATGTTAAGTGGTGGTGTAGTGGTTTGTTCTGATGACACTTATGTTAAGTGGTGGTGTAGTGGTTTGTTCTGATGACACTTATGTTAAGTGGTGTTGTAGTAGTTTGTTCTGATGACACTTATGTTAAGTGGAGGTGTTGTAGTAGTTTGTTCTGATGACACTTATGTGGTGGTGTTGTAGTAGTTTGTTCTGATGACACTTATGTTAAGTGGTGGTGTAGTGGTTTGTTCTGATGACACTTATGTGGTTGTGTTGTAGTAGTTTGTTCTGATGACACTTATGTTAAGTGGTGTTGTAGTAGTTTGTTCTGATGACACTTATGTTAAGCGGTGTTGTAGTAGTTTGTTCTGATGACACTTATGTTAAAGTGGTGTTGTAGTAGTTTGTTCTGATGACACTTATGTTAAGTGGTGTTGTAGTAGTTTGTTCTGATGACACTTATGTGGTGGTGTTGTAGTAGTTTGTTCTGATGACAGTTATGTTAAGTGGTGTTGTAGTAGTTTGTTCTGATGACACTTATGTTAAGTGGAGGTGTTGTAGTAGTTTGTTCTGATGACACTTATGTGGTGGTGTTGTAGTAGTTTGTTCTGATGACACTTATGTTAAGTGGTGTTGTAGTAGTTTGTTCTGATGACGCTTATGTTAAGTGGTGTTGTAGTAGTTTGTTCTGATGACACTTATGTTAAGTGGTGTTGTAGTAGTTTGTTCTGATGACACTTATGTTAAGTGGTTTTGTAGTAGTTTGTTCTGATGACAATTATGTGGTGGTGTTGTAGTAGTTTGTTCTGATGACAGTTATGTTAAGTGGTGTTGTAGTAGTTTGTTCTGATGACACTTATGTTAAGTGGAGGTGTTGTAGTAGTTTGTTCTGATGACACTTATGTGGTGGTGTTGTAGTAGTTTGTTCTGATGACACTTATGTTAAGTGGTGTTGTAGTAGTTTGTTCTGATGACACTTATGTTAAGTGGTGTTGTAGTAGTTTGTTCTGATGACACTTATGTTAAGTGGTGTTGTAGTAGTTTGTTCTGATGACACTTATGTGGTGGTGTTGTAGTAGTTTGTTCTGATGACACTTATGTGGTTGTGTTGTAGTAGTTTGTTCTGATGACACTTATGTTAAGTGGTGTTGTAGTAGTTTGTTCTGATGACACTTATGTTAAGTGGTGTTGTAGTAGTTTGTTCTGATGACACTTATGTTAAGTGGTATTGTAGTAGTTTGTTCTGATGACACTTATGTGGTGGTGTTGTAGTAGTTTGTTCTGATGACACTTATGTTAAGTGGTGTTGTAGTAGTTTGTTCTGATGACACTTATGTGGTGGTGTTGTAGTAGTTTGTTCTGATGACACTTATGTGGTGGTGTTGTAGTAGTTTGTTCTGATGACACTTATGTTAAGTGGTGGTGTAGTGGTTTGTTCTGATGACACTTATGTGGTTGTGTTGTAGTAGTTTGTTCTGATGACACTTATGTTAAGTGGTGTTGTAGTAGTTTGTTCTGATGACACTTATGTTAAGTGGTGTTGTAGTAGTTTGTTCTGATGACACTTATGTTAAGTGGTGTTGTAGTAGTTTGTTCTGATGACACTTATGTTAAGTGGTGTTGTAGTAGTTTGTTCTGATGACACTTATGTTAAGTGGTGTTGTAGTAGTTTGTTCTGATGACACTTATGTGGTGGTGTTGTAGTAGTTTGTTCTGATGACACTTATGTGGTGGTGTTGTAGTAGTTTGTTCTGATGACACTTATGTGGTGGTGTTGTAGTAGTTTGTTCTGATGACACTTATGTGGTGGTGTTGTAGAAGTTTGTTCTGATGACACTTATGTGGTGGTGTTGTAGTAGTTTGTTCTGATCACACTTATGTTGAGTGGTGTTGTAGTAGTTTGTTCTGATGACACTTATGTTAAGTGGTGGTGTTGTAGTAGTTTGTTCTGATGACACTTATGTGGTGCTGTTGTAGTAGTTTGTTCTGATGACACTTATGTGGTGGTGTTGTAGTAGTTTGTTCTGATGACACTTATGTGGTGGTGTTGTAGTAGTTTGTTCTGATGACACTTATGTGGTGGTGTTGTAGTAGTTTGTTCATTGATGTTTTTGACTCTTGACTTAGGTCTGGGGACGCTGACATTCGACGCTATATTAGCCTCAAGAAGAGTAATCCCAGTTTGATTGGACCAGGTTTCTCCTTTATTGGAGGCAATGCAGTGGGTATTTTCATTGAAGAAGTCTACTTAGATTGTTTTGTGGGCAGCACCACTTCACTACAGAGAGGAGATCAACTCTTGGAGGTGAGTTAGCTTCTAACATTCACTCACAATGGGGTGGTAGATGATTTAAAATTGTTATTTTGCCTTTTTTTAAACCTATTTTTCAGAGATAGCATGTATTCTATGTTTTTTTGTAGGGGAGTGGAAAGAGTTGGATCTCTTTGGGCTGGGCTGTCTATCAATTATTAATTAAATATGGTAGTAGATCTAAGAAATCTAGTAATCTAATAAATTTAGTAGTAGATTTAAGAAATTTAGTAGTAGATCTAAGAAATCTAGTAATCTAATAAATTTAGTAGTAGATCTAAGAAATCTAGTAATCTAATAAATTTAGTAGTAGATCTAAGAAATCTAGTAATCTAATAAATTTAGTAGTAGATCTAATAAATTTAGTAATCTAATAAATTTAGTAGTAGATCTAATAAATTTAGTAGTAGATCTAAGAAATCTAGTAATCTAATAAATTTAGTAGTAGATCTAATAATCATCATTATTATCATTCCTGTGGACTCCTTGTGGAGCATAAAGACACAAGCACACCTCTCCATTGTTTCTGGGCGATTCCTCCAAGTAGGGTCCCAGCTGCTGCTGACCAAATTTGTTTTGGCCTTCCTACTTGCCTCTGTCATGTGCTAGTGTACAGGTTACCACTGACCAAATTTGGCCTTCCTACTTGCCTCTGTCATGTGCTAGTGTACAGGTAACCACTGACCAAATTTGTTTTGGCCTTCCTACTTGCCTCTGTCATGTGCTAGTGTACAGGTAACCACTGACCAAATTTGGCCTTCCTACTTGCCTCTGTCATGTGCTAGTCTACAGGTAACCACTGACCAAATTTGGCCTTCCTACTTGCCTCTGTCATGTGCTAGTCTACAGGTTACCAAACTTTTTTCAGTGGTGACCACCTTTTATAAACAGTAAATGACCTGCAGCCCCCATAGAATTAAAAGTTGAATTTAGTAAGGAAATTAATAAACACCAAAATAATATTTTCTAGTATAATTTTAATTCAAGTTATTTTTTATAACTGCTTTAATGATATCGGTGAAATTGCAGGCTATTAACGAGCCTCAAAATTCGCTGTTGAGTTTTTGTTAACGCCAACCTTATGTCATTCTCAACATTTAATTTTTTCTTTGTTTTATTTGGAGAAGTGTTAAAAATCTTGACAAGTTATGTGGTCACAAAAGGAGCTAAAACTCAAAAGTCAATCAATGTCATGTTTGCGTATAAATGGTACATACCACACCAAAATTGTGTGAGCAGGTTTTTTTTAAACATTGTACGTGCCGCGGAATCATACCGCAAATCCGAGAATTCATGTTGTATTTCATTGGGAATGCTGGCAACATTGTTACGGGTCAGTTGTAGGTCAGATTAGAATAGGTTAGAATAGTCTAGAACTAGGGGAGAGTGCATGTGTGAGTGGAGTTCACCCTACTGTGTAGTTACCCTTGTATGTTTATGTATTGTAATCCCAAGGTCGAATGCGGGTATAAAAGGGCGAGTGAACGATTGTAGGGGGTCAGTCAGCTGGTTAGTTGATAGCGGGTAGGACGAGGGCTGCGCTAAAATGTACATATTGTAGACGGAATAAAAGTATTGAAGAAAAACACGAATCGTCTCTTGACTTGAAACCAACCGGAACGTAACAAACACCAAGGGAAGCATAGAATGGGTTACGCGTCAATGTATTTTCTTGTTCTTTTAGCACAGGGAAATAATGCCGCAGTTGGTTTTCAAGAGATTCAAGATGCCCAGAAATCTCCTTTCTAAAATTTGTATTTGTCTCACAATCAGCAATTCATCCACCTCACAGCAGACTTCTTCAAACATGGCAATATTTCCAACTTTATGTTTCTTCGCAAATGTTTGATAAAAATGCCACGAGATTATCATGAAAAAGAAATATTAGTTTCTTTTCCCTGCTGTTCAAGTATTTATACCTGTTATGCTACTCTCTCCAACCACTCTTTGTCGTTTAAGTATCAAAAGGTCTTGTTTCACTTGCACTTCCAAGAACAACTTGATTTCTTTTTTCAATTGAAAAACACAATTCACAACATTTCCTTTTGACAGTCAGCGTACTGTAGTGTAGAAAAGAAAAAACTTTATTATGATCAGAATTCAATGTCTGCACAGTTCTTTAAACAGACTGGTGATTAGGGCTCCAGATTTAAACAGACTGGTGATTAGGGCTCCAGATTTAAACAGACTGGTGATTAGGGCTCCAGATTTAAACAGACTGGTGATTAGGGCTCCAGATTTAAACAGACTGGTGATTAGGGCTCCAGATTTAAACAGACTGGTGATTAGGGCTCCAGATTTAAACAGACTGGTGATTAGGGCTCCAGATTTAAACAGACTGGTGATTAGGGCTCCAGATTTAAACAGACTGGTGATTAGGGCTCCAGATTTAATATAAGTTACGACTTTTATTATCAAATTAAGTGCCTGTAGCAAAGGAGTTGGAAGAGTCTTGTTGGGGGGGGGAAGGGGGGGGGCATACCGGTGAATCATGCATTGGAAAGTAAAATTTTTACTTTTTTCCAGAAAGCCCGATACAAACCCGCAACAGTTTTCCCATTTTAATCCTCCAGTTTCAAAAAACATTTATTTTCTCCATGATATCGTTACTTTTTGTAGTAGTTTCAAGTTCACTAGAAAATAGAAACTCTTATTTGATAATTTCTCAATAAATATGTTTCACATAGTCAAGCAACTGCAAACGCAAATTGACCCCTGTTGAATTATCAAGTTTAAAAGCAAACAAAAAGCTTGATTTCATTTTAAATTTGTTCTTTAACTTCGGACATGTCTGGTACAGGCCGATCAATAGTATTATTAGACAGAGATACTTGATACATCTTTACTGCACTGGAATCCCCAAGAATTAATTTTACTATCTTCAACATACAGAATTTGATGATATTTCTCCTATTGTGTGAGGTTTTTTGTTTTGCAATTTTTAATAAGACTTCATATAATGTCATAATGCTGTGTTTCTTTAGTGAAAACTTGCCGTTCGATCAAGTCTCTGTTGTGTGCACCTAGCTTCATGCCAACGAAGAACTCCATTTTTTTGGTGTGTTCTAATAGAACAGTCTGAAAGCTTCAATACTCTGTTCATGTTTTTAAAACATCAGTAGAGAAAACAGTCGCTCTCTCTTTCATTGTTTAATATGAAATTATTCAGACTTCAAGACACCTTTGATAACTTTAAAAAATATTTCTAAAGAAATTTTTTGTTTGGTTTTGTCTACCACTTGGTGACTCCCACAGAAAGTCCTTCGCAACCCCCAGGGGGGTCTCAACCCACAGTTTGTGAACCCATGTACTAGTTGGTTTACGCAAGGTGCATTCAATCCATCCACTTTTGTATTTATTTGCCAACAGAGTCTTGCCAAGTTTTTCTCTGCTATGGTAATTTTTTCAGGCCATCTGATGTTCAATATGCTGCAGAGGCATTCTTGAATGAAAGTCTGAAGTTTGTGTTATTAGTTTATGTTACTCTCCATGTCTCAGAACTATAAAGAAGAACCTCAATGTCCAGGTTGTGCAGAGGATGTTGAATGTGTACCTGGCCTTGCTAATGCGGCTTTTGATGTCCTCATCTGTTCTCTGTTTCAGTTCAACTCTGTAGATTTCCGTAGTGTGACAGCTGAGAAAGCAATGATTGAGCTCAACCGGCCTTGTGCTACCTTGCAACTTTGTGTTTTTTACAACATGGCTAGTAAGTGTCTTTTTAACTGATTGGATCATTTTTCCCTCCCTTAAGACATGTGTACCAACCTCCCTTAAGACATGTGTACCAACCTCTAAGACATGTGTACCAACCTCCCTTAAGACATGTGTACCAACCTCCCTTAAGACATGTGTACCAACCTCCCTTAAGACATGTGTACCAACCTCCCTTAAGACGTGTGTACCAACCTCCCTTAAGACGTGTGTACTAACCTCCCTTAAGACGTGTGTACCAACCTCCCTTAAGACGTGTGTACCAACCTCCCTTAAGACGTGTGTACCAACCTCCCTTAAGACATTAGTACCAACCTCCCTTAAGACATGTGTACCAACCTCCCTTAAGACATGTGTACCAACCTCCCTTAAGACATGTGTACCAACCTCCCTTAAGACGTGTGTACCAACCTCCCTTAAGACGTGTGTACCAACCTCCCTTAAGACGTGTGTACCAACCTCCCTTAAGACATGTGTACCAACCTCCCTTAAGACATGTGTACCAACCTCCCTTAAGACATGTGTACCAACCTCCCTTAAGACATGTGTACCAACCTCCCTTAAGACATGTGTACCAACCTCCCTTAAGACATGTGTACCGACTTCCCTTAAGACATGTGTACCGACCTCCCTTAAGACATGTGTACTAACCTCCCTTAAGACGATGTGTGTACCAACCTCCTCTAAGACATGTGTACCAACCTCCCTTAAGACATGTGTACCAACCTCCCTTAAGACGTGTGTACCAACCTCCCTTAAGACATGTGTACCAACCTCCCTTAAGACATGTGTACCAACCTCCCTTAAGACATGTGTACCAACCTCCCTTAAGACATGAGTACCGACCTCCCTTAAGACATGTGTACCAACCTACCTTAAGACCTCCCTTCTAGTCTGGTTGTTGCTTGTTTGACGTATGTTTCCCAACCTCCTTTTATCCATGAGGCCTTAACCGTATAACTTTTGAAAGGTGTTGTGTGTTTTAACTTCTGGTGAAAACTAAAATGCATGTTTCTAAGGTTAGATTTTCTTGTGAACAGAGTACAAAAAGATCCAGCATGGGCCCTGTGACAGCTTTTATATTCGAGCCAACTTTGAGCGCACCAGTGAAAGAGAAGAGGAGCTGAGTTTCCACAAGGACGATATCCTGTACGTAGAGAACAGCTTGTACAAGCAGCAGCTGGGGACCTGGTATGCCTGGCTAGTCAATGACCAAGGCAACAAAGTCAAGGCTGGCATCATTCCAAGTCGTATCAGGTAGGCTGCTTAGATCATTTGAGACATTTAAGCCTGGATTTGTTATCTTACTTTGTCTGCTCTAAAAGCTACTCACTAAAAGATAATCAGATACATGACCACCAAAAATTTTTCTTCTACAAATTGTATTTTCAAGTAACTTGGGCTGTCATGGGATAGCTTAGCCTAGATGTAGAGGGCTATAGCCCCAAAGTCTAGAGTTCAAGTCAGTAGAATGTCCCTGATGTAGAGGGCTATAGCCCCAAAGTCTAGAGTTCAAGTCAGTAGAATGTCCCTGATGTAGAGGGCTATAGCCCCAAAGTCTAGAGTTTGAATCCAAGTTCAAGTCAGTAGAATGTCCCTGATTCCACCCATTTATGATGGTTATCTAACTCATGTTAGGGAAACAAAGGCAGCTGGGCATAGTGCTGACCCATGCTATCCTTTCATATGCCGAGGTCTCTGTAGCAGATATGTTACCTGCCCCATGTGTCTGGGGCATGAACAGGTAAAAAATATGAAAATGTGCTGTTAAAAAAATGTTTCACTCCCTCCCCCCTACACCTCCTACATCCCACTCCCTCCCCCTACGCCCTCCTACATCCCACTCCCTCCCCCTACGCCCTCCTACATCCCACTCCCTCCCCCTACGCCCTCCTACATCCCACTCCCTCCCCCTACGCCCTCCTACATCCCACTCCCTCCCCCCTACACCTCCTACATCCCACTCCCTCCCCCCTACACCTCCTACATCCCACTCCCTCCCCCTACGCCCTCCTACATCCCACTCCCTCCCCCTACGCCCTCCTACATCCCACTCCCTACACCTCCTACATCCCACTCCCTCCCCTTACACCTGCATCCCACTCCCTCCCCTACACCTCCTTCATCCCACTCCCTCCTACACTTCCTACATCCCTCCCCCTACACCTACATCCCACTCCCTCCCCTACACCTCCTACATCCCACTCCCTCCCCTACACCTCCTACATCCCACTCCCTCCTACACTTCCTACATCCCACTCCCTCCTACACTTCCTACATCCCACTCCCTCCTACACTTCCTACATCCCTCCTACATCCCACTCCCTCCCCTACACCTCCTACATCCCACTCCCTCCTACACTTCCTACATCCCACTCCCTCCTACACTTCCTACATCCCACTCCCTCCTACACTTCCTACATCCCTCCCCCTACACCTACATCCCACTCCCTCCCCTACACCTCCTACATCCCACTCCCTCCTACACTTCCTACATCCCACTCCCTCCCCCTACACCTACATCCCACTCCCTCCCCTACACCTCCTACATCCCACTCCCTCCTACACTTCCTACATCCCACTCCCTCCCCTTACACCTGCATCCCACTCCCTCCCCTACACCTCCTACACCCCTCCCCCTACACTTCCTACATCCCACTCCCTCCTACACTTCCTACATCCCTCCCCCTACACCTACATCCCACTCCCTCCCCTACACCTCCTACATCCCACTCCCTCCTACACTTCCTACATCCCTCCCCCTACACCTACATCCCACTCCCTCCCCTACACCTCCTACATCCCACTCCCTCCTACACTTCCTACATCCCTCCCCCTACACCTACATCCCACTCCCTCCCCTACACCTCCTACATCCCACTCCCTCCTACACTTCCTACATCCCTCCCCCTACACCTACATCCCACTCCCTCCCCTACACCTCCTACATCCCACTCCCTCCCCCTACACCTACATCCCACTCCCTCCCCTACACCTCCTACATCCCACTCCCCCTACACTTCCTACATCCCTCCCCCTACACCTACATCCCACTCCCTCCTACATCCCACTCCCTCCCCCTACACCTACATCCCACTCCCTCCCCTACACCTCCTACATCCCACTCCCTCCTACACTTCCTACATCCCTCCCCCTACACCTACATCCCACTCCCTCCCCTACACCTCCTACATCCCACTCCCTCCTACACTTCCTACATCCCTCCCCCTACACCTACATCCCACTCCCTCCCCTACACCTCCTACATCCCACTCCCTCCTACACTTCCTACATCCCTCCCCCTACACCTACATCCCACTCCCTCCCCTACACCTCCTACATCCCACTCCCTCCTACACTTCCTACATCCCTCCTACATCCCACTCCCTCCCCCTACACCTACATCCCACTCCCTCCCCTACACCTCCTACATCCCACTCCCCCCTACACTTCCTACATCCCTCCCCCTACACCTACATCCCACTCCCTCCCCTACACCTCCTACATCCCACTCCCTCCTACACTTCCTACATCCCTCCCCCTACACCTACATCCCACTCCCTCCCCTACACCTCCTACATCCCACTCCCTCCTACACTTCCTACATCCCTCCCCCTACACCTACATCCCACTCCCTCCCCTACACCTCCTACATCCCACTCCCTCCTACACTTCCTACATCCCTCCCCCTACACCTACATCCCACTCCCTCCCCTACACCTCCTACATCCCACTCCCTCCTACACTTCCTACATCCCTCCTACATCCCACTCCCTCCCCCTACACCTACATCCCACTCCCTCCCCTACACCTCCTACATCCCACTCCCTCCTACACTTCCTACATCCCACCTACATCCCACTCCCTCCCCCTACACCTACATCCCACTCCCTCCCCTACACCTCCTACATCCCACTCCCTCCCCTACACCTCCTACATCCCACTCCCTCCCCCTACACCTACATCCCACTCCCTCCCCTACACCTCCTTCATCCCACTCCCCCCTACACTTCCTACATCCCTCCCCCTACACCTACATCCCACTCCCTCCCCTACACCTCCTACATCCCACTCCCCCCTACACTTCCTACATCCCTCCCCCTACACCTACATCCCACTCCCTCCCCTACACCTCCTACATCCCACTCCCCCCTACACTTCCTACATCCCTCCCCCTACACCTACATCCCACTCCCTCCCCTACACCTCCTACATCCCACTCCCCCCTACACTTCCTACATCCCACTCCCCCCTACACTTCCTACATCCCTCCTACATCCCACTCCCTCCCCCTACACCTACATCCCACTCCCTCCCCTACACCTCCTACATCCCACTCCCTCCTACACTTCCTACATCCCTCCCCCTACACCTACATCCCACTCCCTCCCCTACACCTCCTACATCCCACTCCCTCCTACACTTCCTACATCCCTCCCCCTACACCTACATCCCACTCCCTCCCCTACACCTCCTACATCCCACTCCCTCCTACACTTCCTACATCCCTCCCCCTACACCTACATCCCACTCCCTCCCCTACACCTCCTACATCCCACTCCCTCCTACACTTCCTACATCCCTCCTACATCCCACTCCCTCCCCCTACACCTACATCCCACTCCCTCCCCTACACCTCCTACATCCCACTCCCCCCTACACTTCCTACATCCCTCCCCCTACACCTACATCCCACTCCCTCCCCTACACCTCCTACATCCCACTCCCCCCTACACTTCCTACATCCCTCCCCCTACACCTACATCCCACTCCCTCCCCTACACCTCCTACATCCCACTCCCCCCTACACTTCCTACATCCCTCCCCCTACACCTACATCCCACTCCCTCCCCTACACCTCCTACATCCCACTCCCCCCTACACTTCCTACATCCCACTCCCCCCTACACTTCCTACATCCCTCCTACATCCCACTCCCTCCCCCTACACCTACATCCCACTCCCTCCCCTACACCTCCTACATCCCACTCCCCCCTACACTTCCTACATCCCTCCCCCTACACCTACATCCCACTCCCTCCCCTACACCTCCTACATCCCACTCCCCCCTACACTTCCTACATCCCTCCCCCTACACCTACATCCCACTCCCTCCCCTACACCTCCTACATCCCACTCCCCCCTACACTTCCTACATCCCTCCCCCTACACCTACATCCCACTCCCTCCCCTACACCTCCTACATCCCACTCCCCCCTACACTTCCTACATCCCTCCCCCTACACCTACATCCCACTCCCTCCCCTACACCTCCTACATCCCACTCCCCCCTACACTTCCTACATCCCTCCCCCTACACCTACATCCCACTCCCTCCCCTACACCTCCTACATCCCACTCCCCCCTACACTTCCTACATCCCTCCCCCTACACCTACATCCCACTCCCTCCCCTACACCTCCTACATCCCACTCCCCCCTACACTTCCTACATCCCTCCCCCTACACCTACATCCCACTCCCTCCCCTACACCTCCTACATCCCACTCCCCCCTACACTTCCTACATCCCTCCCCCTACACCTACATCCCACTCCCTCCCCTACACCTCCTACATCCCACTCCCCCCTACACTTCCTACATCCCTCCCCCTACACCTACATCCCACTCCCTCCCCTACACCTCCTACATCCCACTCCCCCCTACACTTCCTACATCCCACTCCCTCCCCTACACTTCCTACATCCCTCCTACACCTCCTACATCCCACTCCCTCCCCCTACACCTACATCCCACTCCCTCCCCTACACCTCCTACATCCCACTCCCCCCTACACTTCCTACATCCCTCCCCCTACACCTACATCCCACTCCCTCCCCTACACCTCCTACATCCCACTCCCCCCTACACTTCCTACATCCCTCCCCCTACACCTACATCCCACTCCCTCCCCTACACCTCCTACATCCCACTCCCCCCTACACTTCCTACATCCCACTCCCTCCCCTACACTTCCTACATCCCTCCTACACCTCCTACATCCCTCCCCCTACACTTCCTACATCCCTCCCCCTACACCTCCTACATCCCACTCCCTCCCCTACACCTCCTACATCCCACTCCCTCCTACACTTCCTACATCCCTCCCCCTACACCTACAGCCCCTACCTTTCAACCTACTGTTTAACTAACTTCTGGAGATTCCTCTTCTGAACCCATGGTTATTGACTTTTCTTCTGAGTGTTTACTATTTTTGACTCAATGTGATTACAATGATACAATAAAATGTTTGTTTATAGGCTGGAAGATGAAATGGTGTTACGTAGAACTCATTCTGAGAGTTGGAGCTTACATGAGTCTGATGACATCAAGAACTCAAGGCGAGGTTCTGGTTCTGCCAGGAGAAGCTTTTTTAGGAGAAAGCGTCACCATCGCAATAACTCCAGGGATAGTCATGATTTTGGATCATTCTCAGATGCTTCTTTAAACAGTGACTCCGTGCCTGTTCTTGATGGTTTGATCCATTTTATTTTATTTTCTCTTTCTTTCTCTCTGTTCTCTTTTATTAACTTGAACAATGTGAGTATACATGAATAAATAGCTGCATTTAAAAAAAGAATAAGCCTCAAATTGTTAAGAACCAAAAGAAATGCAAGCAACTATGAGACACTGTCCCCTTGGTCTAAAAACTTTTATTTTATTATTCTAGACTCAATCCTTGGATACACTCAAGTGGAGAAAAAAGAATGTAAGTGACAGTGTTTTTATCATGTTTAAGTCACTGTTTCACACTGGTGCTAGATTCAAATGTACATTTATCACATTGCATCGATGAAACTCTTTCTTTTTTAATGGAAATGTTTATTTAAGGAAATATGTCCTCTGATACTGTTATTTTTCCACCTTTTAAAGAAAAATGTCCACTGATACTGCTATTTTTCCACCAACCATTTTTTCCAAATGAAGCGTGAAAGCTTTTCTACTCATCCAATATTTTCAATTTGTTTTGTCAAAAAGTCAAAGCACACTGTAAAGAATGCTCATGTCACATTGAGTTTTGGTGTTACAATGTGCCTACGACATGTAAACATAGTCATGTTCATTTGCTCTTATTATTCAAACATAAGTTTAGGGTGTTTTAGGTTTAACACTTGCCAACTGTGAAAAGGGGTTATGATTAATGTAATCTAAGATTAACAAAATAATAAGACTATCTATTATGTGGTTTCCTCTATTTATTGAGGGCTTGATTATTTCAAAATTAATGTTTGAATCAAAAATGTCCTGGAAATGTTTTTAAACCATTTAGTACAGTGAATTAGTTAAGAACATGGCTCTGTCTTTTAGTCCCCTGATTGTAAAAAATGTACTTTTTTCCTAGTTAGGCATTAAGATTTCTGTTGCATTTGTTAGTAGATGTAGATGAATTGGCATGTTGGTAGATTTTGATGTTACTTTTTGAGTTGGTCATAAATTGTGATGTTACTTTTTGAGTGGGTCATAAATTATGATGTTACTTTTGAAAACGAGGGATTCATTGAGAAAATATTAAAAAGCTCACCTAATTAATATAAAATTCTACCACTTATACAAATATTTATAAGCTTTCCTCTGCCAGGACTCACTGGTTAGTCCTACAGTGGCAAAGTCTAATTCACATTACCCCAGTTAGTCCTACAGTGGCAAAGTCCAATTCACATTACCCCAGTTAGTCCTACAGTGGCAAAGTCCAATTCACATTACCCCAGTTAGTCCTACAGTGGCAAAGTCTAATTCACATTACCCCAGTTAGTCCTACAGTGGCAAAGTCTAATTCACATTACCCTACAGTGGCAAAGTCTAATTCACATTACCCCAGTTAGTCCTACAGTGGCAAAGTCTAATTCACATTACCCCAGTTAGTCCTACAGTGGCAAAGTCTAATTCACATTACCCCAGTTAGTCCTACAGTGGCAAAGTCTAATTCACATTACCCCAGTTAGTCCTACAGTGGCAAAGTCTAATTCACATTACCCCAGTTAGTCCTACAGTGGCAAAGTCTAATTCACATTACCCCAGTTAGTCCTACAGTGGCAAAGTCTAATTCACATTACCCCAGTTAGTCCTACAGTGGCAAAGTCTAATTCACATTACCCCAGTGGCAAAGTCTAATTCACATTACCCCAGTTAGTCCTACAGTGGCAAAGTCTAATTCACATTACCCCAGTTAGTCCTACAGTGGCAAAGTCTAATTCACATTACTCAGTTAGTCCTACAGTGGCAAAGTCCAATTCACATTACCCCAGTTAGTCCTACAGTGGCAAAGTCCAATTCACATTACCCCAGTTAGTCCTACAGTGGCAAAGTCTAATTCAAATTACCCCAGTGGCAAAGTCTAATTCACATTACCCCAGTGGCAAAGTCTAATTCACATTACCCCAGTTAGTCCTACAGTGGCAAAGTCTAATTCACATTACCCCAGTTAGTCCTACAGTGGCAAAGTCTAATTCACATTACCCCAGTGGCAAAGTCTAATTCTCATTACCCCAGTTAGTCCTACAGTGGCAAAGTCTAATTCACATTACCCCAGTGGCAAAGTCTAATTCACATTACCCCAGTGGCAAAGTCTAATTCACATTACCCCAGTTAGTCCTACAGTGGCAAAGTCTAATTCACATTATCCCAGTTAGTCCTACAGTGGCAAAGTCTAATTCACATTACCCCAGTTAGTCCTACAGTGGCAAAGTCTAATTCACATTACCCCAGTGGCAAAGTCTAATTCACATTACCCCAGTTAGTCCTACAGTGGCAAAGTCTAATTCACATTACCCCAGTTAGTCCTACAGTGGCAAAGTCTAATTCACATTATCCCAGTTAGTCCTACAGTGGCAAAGTCTAATTCACATTACCCCAGTTAGTCCTACAGTGGCAAAGTCCAATTCACATTACCCCAGTTAGTCCTACAGTGGCAAAGTCTAATTCACATTACCCCAGTTAGTCCTACAGTGGCAAAGTCTAATTCACATTACCCCAGTTAGTCCTACAGTGGCAAAGTCTAATTCACATTACCCCAGTGGCAAAGTCTAATTCACATTACCCTACAGTGGCAAAGTCTAATTCACATTACCCCAGTTAGTCCTACAGTGGCAAAGTCTAATTCACATTACCCCAGTTAGTCCTACAGTGGCAAAGTCTAATTCACATTACCCCTATTACAACCTAAGCCTCAGATTAGATTTTAATAGCATGTATCTGAAATCTAGATTTCACTTAATAGCCTGTATCTGAAATCTAGATTTAACACTTTAGGACCTGTATTTAATATTTTTAAAGTTACACACCAAATTACCAAAATCATCATTACTGAAAAAGAAGCAATTAAAAATGTTTCTATCAAGAAAGTTTTTCTTATAGATTTACAGCTTTTAACTCACAAAGGACTTCTTACTCTTAGCCTACTCAAATAGTTAACTAAAACTGGATAAACCAGTAATCATCTACCTTTAAAAGGAACACTTTCTACCACTCACCTACCTTGAATAATGTTTTATATATAACATCTCCAGGCATGTTTACATTGGCCATCAAATATTTTATTATACTATTTGAGTTAATACATCATTGTTTGTTTTTTCTTGCAGTCAAGTCTGTTCGACCTGTGGTTCTCCTAGCTCCCTTAGCTGAAGCTCTGAGTTTGAAATTAGAATCTGAGTCACCAGACAAATATAAATATTGTGAACCAAGTGAGTATCTCATTTGTGGCCAGATCAAACTAACCATTATCAAATCTGAAACTTCCAATTTTTGGGACTATATTGATTTGTTTTATTGTCACCATTTGGGAATGAGCTTGTCTCCTAAATATGTAACATTTAAAACATACTTAAATAATGAAATACAAATAATGAAATAGTTGAACAAATATGGATCAAATTTGTATGGTAAATGGTTCAATCAAACCACTCAAATATTATCCTTTCTCTTAATTGGCACTTTAACTAATTAAAAGCTAATTTATTTGACATGTAGAATTTGTTAATTTATATCCAAATGAAAATTCAAGAACATTTACAGTAATATTTAGTCTGGAAGGCATAAGCACTAGAACTTTAACATAGATGAGGTCTCTGTAAATTGGATTGTTGAAATACTGAGGCCATGTGGTGGAACAAGGTGTCAGATTGAATCAGAACTAATTTGAACTGCTACTGGTAATACCTTCAAACTAAACTTGAACATGATTCAAAGCCAAGTGAAGTGTGTTCTGCTATATGCATGAGGCTATATAATCTTACCAGCAGCAAATCCTGTCAAACATCAGGAAAAAAAGTTAAATTTTCAGTAGCATTGGTCATTTCTCTGGGTCAAAATTTCATGGAAACAACATGGAATGATAAAATCAATGAATATTTCCTTCAGATTGAGTACCTTTGATTCAATGGTAGCATTGAAACCCCTTTGCTCTATCTTGATAGCATATATAACAAGATAAATATAGACAGGCCAGTTTCAACTCTCCTTTACACACAAACTCCCTTACCCTCTCGCCTCCCCCTCCCTTCTTACATACTACTTACCTCCTAATTCATTACCTATTGTTAAAATTGTTCCGTTATCCTAGTTAGTATACTGCTTTTCCAATTAATAGAGTTGGAAGCAGTACAAAACATAAGAATGAAATTTTGTTGTGATCATAGCACACTATTTATCTGCAGTAGATAGAGGATAACTTGGGGTACAACATGATATCAGGTATCCCAGGGTAGCAGCGATAACTCACACACACACACAGGTAGACACACATAAACACACATACACAAGATAGACACACAGATAGACCCACAGACCCACACAGAAAGAACAGTTTAGTGTTGTAGTAAAAGAAAACTCAGCATAAAAAGGTCAAAGCTTTTTCCACATCTTCCAAAGTATAAAGCTGTCTTGACGGCTTCCAAAGTATAAAGCTGTCTTGACGGCTTCCAAAGTATAAAGCTGTCTTGACGGCTTCCAAAGTATAAAGCTGTCTTGACGGCTTCCAAAGTATAAAGCTGTCTTGATGGCTTCCAAAGTATAAAGCTGTCTTGACGGCTTCCAAAGTATAAAGCTGTCTTGACGGCTTCCAAAGTATAAAGCTGTCTTGACGGCTTCCAAAGTATAAAGCTGTCTTGACGGCTTCCAAAGTATAAAGCTGTCTTGACGGCTTCCAGAGTATAAAGCTGTCTTGACGGCTTCCAGAGTATAAAGCTGTCTTGACGGCTTCCAAAGTATAAAGCTGTCTTGACGGCTTCCAAAGTATAAAGCTGTCTTGACGGCTTCCAAAGTATAAAGCTGTCTTGACGGCTTCCAGAGTATAAAGCTGTCTTGACGGCTTTCAGAGTATAAAGCTGTCTTGACGGCTTCCAAAGTATAAAGCTGTCTTGATGGCTTCCAAAGTATAAAGCTGTCTTGACGGCTTCCAAAGTATAAAGCTGTCTTGACGGCTTCCAAAGTGTAAAGCTGTCTTGACGGCTTCCAAAGTATAAAGCTGTCTTGACGGCTTCCAAAGTGTAAAAAATGTCTCCACAGCTCCTATGAAAACTTCTCCTGCTACTATGGAGCAGTCCCTGGCAGAGGGGGTCCTGGTTGACTACTGGAGGAAAGATGACATGTACCTCTGTATTAGGGCATCAGCTGTCAGAGAAATCTGTGACAAGGTAACAACTTCTCTCAATGGCTTTT